ATCCATGAACTCTTCTTCGCTTTCTTCTACCTCTGATGAGTCTTCACTTTGTTTTTCCTCAAGATAATAATCTTTGTGAGACTCTAAGCCAGGAGTTTTATCAATGACAAACAGCTCTTGACTGTTTGACTGATTTTCTCCCAAGGGGCTTTCACTACTTCCTTCAAAGTCTCCAGTAGCTATTTCGCTGTTTTTCAGTTTTTCTAAGTTATTATTTTCAGATTCCTCACTTGTACGAAGAGACGTAAAGAGGTCTTTCTTATCTCCCCTGGCTTTGGTTGCACATGAAGAGGATTCAGCAATTACTTCTTCCAGGCTTCCATCATTATCTGTGCTTGAAGGTCTGCAGTCATCCCTATTAACAATCTGTGATGTGATCATTTTATTGGTGGGGCTACTTACTTCAGAAATGTCATCATTATCTATTATTTCTTCTATTTTATGTAAACAGCTCTGTCTAACGTTTTGGGGTGATAACCTCTTGTTTTCATTCACTGCTGCTTTTCCTGAAAACTCAGTAGATTGTTCAAGTTTTTTTTGATCACGTGGAGATCTTCCTGAATTCTCTGAAGGCAACTGATTTTCAGAGACCTGTATGGGTTTTTCTGAAGATTGATCATGTATTTCTTCTGGACTCTGAACTATTTCAATTGTATCCACTGCTGTTTGTTTTGAATGCTCCAATTCATCATCATTGTTCTTTAATATCTCCTGCGCAGGCAAGTTTTTATAATCTTCTCTTGTTACTTCCTCAGTACTGCTTGAGAAAATCTGTTCCAGATCATTGCTGGCAACAGATTCAGAAAAACACTTTGTTTTATTGGGGCTAAGGTGCTCTTTTATCCAGTTTGAAGAAAGAGGAGCTTCTTTGGCATTTAAATCAGACACGGTGGATTCCTCCGAATCAGAGATTACTATTGTCTCAGATGTAATTATACAGTCAGGTTTTTCCGTATCCTCTCCTAACGCATTGCTTTTTCTTTCAGTCTGGGATGTTGATTCTGCTTGCAATCTCAAGCCCATACTCCTGGTCACTCGTTTAAATGGGCCAGAATTTTCAAAGGAAACACCCGAGTACCACGATTCAGCATCAGAAACCTCTTCAGCTTGAACCTCACACACGGGTGACACATTACTCTTGACCTGTTGGCGCCTAGACCTTCTCAGAGTTTTTTGGGTCCTTGTTCCTGATACAACAGAAGAACATGACTCTGCTTCAGAAATGTCATCATGATCTTGGCAATTACTACTTTCGTTTGTAAAAATTTTTTTGCTTGGCCTGTTTTTAGCTGAAGTCTCTGGGGTAGAAGGAATTACAATTTGCCGCCTTCTGGTTATTCGGATAAATAATGGTGTCTGAAGACCAGATACCGAAGAACAGGTTGATTCTGCTTCTGAAACATCTTCATCAATTTGCGATTCTGCCAGGAGCTCAGCTTTACCTTTACTCAAGACTGTGCACGCTTCTGAAGGCTCTTCTGCATCCAATTTTGTCTCAGAAGTTTTCATATCTGCCTTCTGAGATTCAGAAATGACTTGTGTATGGGACATCATTCTCATTCTGCTTCTAGTTACCCTCACAGAAGGGCTGTCTTCCATTGCAGACTGCTGTAAGAATGAAAAGAATGTCAGGTAACAAGCAAAAAGAAAAGAAATACATAAATAAATCCATGCTCCATGAGAAACTCAGAAATTCTGAACTATTAACTATTGTAATTAAGGAACAAAGTTATGCTGCCATCGCAATGTTTTCTATGTGTCAGCTTCTCTATAAAAAACCATGTTTATTATGAACAGTACTAGTTTCTGACATACTTGCATTGTAGATTTTATACTGCTGGACCGAAAAGTCAAGGTTAACACTTTTTCACTAAGAACTACTTTTTTCTGCTTCATAGCTATAATGAGAGATGCCCTGTGCCCAGCATAGCTTATGGGGCATGGTCCAGCAGGAGTTGCCACAGACAAGGGGAAGTAAATTTGGTTTGTTACTCAATTTTTCCCAACGTAACCTAAGCATTTCATTTGCTATTTTGCATTTCTTGCCAGAACAGGATAGAGAGAATACTCCTCTATCTCCTCTAATACTTGCAGCAGATTATTAAATCAAAACATTGTACTGAAGAAAAAGTTCTTGGCTAAGAAAATTGTAACTTGTGTTTGCAGAAGAAGAAAAACTAAGGAAAGATAAAAGAAGAAATATGTTACTTAATGTTATATCCCAAGCCAACTGTCCTCCCCCCTTAAAAAAAAAAAAACCTTTAAGAACGGAACTTTTACTAATCCAATTTTTCCAATGAGAACATTGCCCAATGATCAGTCTCTCTACCTAGTACTGAAATGAATGGATAAATAACCATGTCTGCTATCGGCTTTGATAAACTGATTCATCACAGAAGCACAGATAGGTGAGACGTGAGGCAGATAGCTGTTGCACTGCTGAACACATGCAGTATGATAGAATAACACTGCAGAAGCCCTGTGCCTTCTGAATTTTACCAGTGTGATTTCTAAGAAAGAGAACCTGTAAATAAAATGAGAAGGAGAGAAAGCAGATGATCAATCAGTCCTCTTTTTTAAAAAAACACACAACAAAATAAGTTAATTAAAAATAGAGAAAAATACGACAAAGCTACACACAGATTTTGTGGCTAAGGGGAGAAAGGCAGACAGAAAGGAACAAAGGAAAACCTTTTCAGGCTTCTTGGTAAAATGTTACATAAACATTGTTAAATCGACGGAAGAATATTATTCTGCATTTCTTTCAGTGTGTTTTAAAATTCCGGTAGAAACAACTATTCCCAGAGTTGACAGGATGATTTGCGGCCAAAATTCAAAGTAGAAAAAATGTTATATATACTATATATACTATATTCCAAAAGGAATAAAGGCACTTACTTATTCTTTAGGATTAAGACCTCTAGATTTCCACCAGGTCAGAAAACGGCGGCGACCGTGCTGTCGCCCCACCTTTTTGCCCAAACCAGAAATGAGTTTCTAACAAAAATGCACCGTCACAAACCGACGCGCTGCATTCGGAAGCTAACCCTGCCCTCCTTTTTCCTCAGCCGACCTAAATGTTCAGAGTGAGACACTCTCCGCGTTGCGTCCCCTATCAATGCATCAACGCGCAACAGACACACCCTGGTCTCCCCCTCCCCCGAGCGCCCCAAAGGCACAAAAGTCTCCCCGCCTCGATGCGTTCAGCTTCAGTCCGGCTCTAACGCAGCACGCCCCAAACACGGCGCAGAAGACGCGGTGCGCGCTCCCGAACGGCGAGAACGTTCCAAGCGCGTGCGCGGGTGGAACTCGACGGAGATGTGCTTGCGTGGGTGGGGGGAAGCCGCTTCCGCGCCTCTTTTTGCCCCCTCTCACCTCTGCAGCCGGGCATTCCGCCTTCGACTCACTCCGCCGCGTTACCCGCCTGGTGGCCATCATCTTTTCCGCGTGTGCAGCAGGAAACGATTGTTCTGGTTCGCTTCCAGGTGGCATTGCGACTCCGAAAGAGGTCCGTCCGAAAACTTCCTGCCCTGCCTCCGCCCAGTATCTTGGCAGGGATGCTGCAAGCAATTGGTGGATGAAAACTGTTCACAAAGGCGGAAGTAGGGATGAGAGAAAAAAGTGGAAGTCTTATGTGCAAAGTCCGCCTTAGTCTCAGTCAGCATAGCTGGGGATGAGCGGACTGCAGTTAGGGGTTATTAGCAATTAAAAGAATGCGAGGAAGCTGTATACAATTCTTAACCTTCGTTTCGGGTTATTTAGGAGTATCCTCACCTCAATCCAGGGCTAGCAGCAATAATCTGGACTACAATTCTCGCCTTCAGTTGCTGCTCGTTCTGGATGATAAATCCAAATTCATCGAGAGGGAAATAGGTTTGGGAATACTCCTGGAATCACAGACAAATCTTTCAGATAAAATGGCAACAGAGGTGGCCATCACTTTGTGTAAATAATAATTTTAACTAAATAATAATTTTACCTAAATCTGAATATGGAGAGCAAACACATTTAGATGATTGTTTCAAGGCAGTGCTTCCCAAGCCTTTTCCTTCATTATCCAAATCGCTTATCAGAAAGTTTTACTCAATGTAGATAAAACAGTCAATTAAATGTCCCTGATGTGATTGTGTAAGGTGTTTGTGTGTCATTACCTAAAGAAAACCACTTGTACTTGATTTTGGGTAACTTACTTAGGTTTACGAAGCACTGTTTTAAGGTATTTGCTTGGTTAAAAAAGATTAAATGCAATTTTGAAAAAACTCACAAATTTGGATTTTTATTCCTCTGCAGGTGCATATCTCTACATATATACTTTCCTTAGTTCTGAAATAATAATCCTAGCTCTTGTGTCAAAAAATGATTCTAGAGTTTTTACTAATATTTACTTTTAAGAATAATGTTAATACATGTTTAAAAGAAAATATTACTTCAAAAAGAAATTCTTTTTGCACTGCTGGAAAAATCTTTACAAAGGAGATTTAGAAACTACCAGCTATGTCCTCAATGTAAAATGGAAATTTGGTAGCCATCACAAACTTAATTTTAAATTAAACAATATGCAGTAATTTTACCTATTCCATGAAAGTTTCTGCCTGGAAAAAGATCCTTTTTTTCCTCATTCCTACCAGGAACATGTCCTGCTTTCACTATTATAGTGGATTGCATTCTCTTGAGGTAACAAAATGCATACTTTAAAACAGATTAGAAAGATAGTTATAATAAACTATATTTTATGTGAAATTTTTAATAGCAGAACTTATGGAAGACTAGTGGAGAACTAGATAAAAAAATCTCCCCAACTTTCCCCCCAAATTTATTAAGATTCAAAGAGTTATCTGCAATTTTTTGGATCAAGATTTCTTTTCATCCATAACTGCAAACTAAAACATTCATTCATTACAGAAATTTAAAATCTGACAAACTACAGAAAACAGCGGCTTTCTACAGTTCAATGCACTTTATATTCCAACCCAAATTTTACAAAAACAATATTTTATATATTCAATAACTATTTTAATCTGTATATTTATTTAAAGTAGCACATCAAAATTTACTTCAAAATGTTGTCAAATAAATTTTATTTAAGTTGATGTATTCAATTTTTAAGGACTCCTCCCAACTAACCTGACACATGGCCTCACTGTATTATCACTAACACCCCAATGAGCTCAATGGAATCTAATTCCAGGTAAAAGCTGAAATTTGAATTAAGAACGTTTTTTCATGCTTAATATAATATGGAATCCAAACACCGCCACCTGCTAGACCATCTTATGCAAAATTATTTTAATATAAAGTATAAGAGGTTTCCCTATTGGAATGTATCCAAGTACGTGAATATGGTGTGAAGAACATTATAAAACATTTAGTAAAGCTACCTATGACGTTATTTTCATTTATAAATTAAAAACTTAAAATCCAGGTAAAGTTTGCATCTCTTACATAACTTTCATATGTGCATTAATAACAGAGAAATACACATTAAAATGGCAAAATGTACATTGTTAAACTACTGAAGTCTCAATAAGCAAACCTCTTTAATCTAAATTATTATTTAACTGCAGCATTTTTAAATTAAATTAAGTGCTTAAGAGCATTGAATCAATTTCTTTTGAAGAACCCATAAACTTCAAAGTAACTTAACTGCACCTCAGGTTATTTTTAAGAATTCCTAAAAATGTCTGAGAAGCTACACTCAGTGCAATGCTGAAATTTATATATACATCTTTTTATGACTTTCAAAATGTTAAGTATGTTTTAACTTCAGCAAAACAAATTTTTAAAAAGTTAATTCTACTCTTCACTGGAGCCATATAATTCTGAGTTTAAAAAAAAAAAATCCTGAACATATGCCAAGAGAAAAATATAACAAACATAATAAAAAATTGTGCATGGCTAGTTAAATTCTGGTAAAATGTTTGAGGCATAGTGAACTGAATATAAATTCATGACTCTATTAAATATTTTACATATTTTTTACCACTGGTGAAATCATCTGCTTATTCCACCAAAATGTGGTTTATTTAGTCCTCTTATCAGCTCAGCAGCCATAAAGTGTACCAAGTCAGTTATGCCTTACAAATAAAAATATTTCAATCAAAATATAGCTAGCTAGATTTTAAATTTAATCATTAAAATATTCCAAAGATTACATACAATATCTCTAAATTAGTAAATTTTAATGAAACACAATATTGTACATGTGAGCCAATTGTTCTCAACACAGATCACCATATAGTATGTGAAAGTAAATGAAATTGAAAGAACGGGCTCAAGAGTACCATCCCGCTATGTAATCTGGGTTTTATGATAACCTGCCAATTAAAAAAACTACTACTAGGTTCAATATGTAGTAGGGAAAGGGTCTCTCCGAAGTAGCTAGTTGTCAAGATCAGTCTTAAGAAGATGGGATCCTTTTAGCTTGCAAGATGTAGCCCTTGGATTTGATAATTCCTCTGCTTTTAACGATGACTGAATACCGCAGAAGCCAGAGGGGAATCCATTCGTGCCCCTGGCAATCTGGGAGGCTTTCCTGAAGAGCTTCTCGGAAATCTGTTTCACAAAGCAATTCTAAAAGTTGAACAGATCATAAGAACAGTATTTTAATATATGCGCTACCAGTATTACTCAGTAAAACAAATGTATATCCCCCTTCATAAAACATTAGGTAGCCCAGTGGTGGCGAACCTATGGCACGGGTGCCAGAGGCGGCACTCGGAGCCCTCTCTGTGGGCACACGTGCCGTTGCCCCAGCCTTGCCTCCCCCCATGACACCCTCCTCACCAGCAGCCCTCCTGGAGAAGGGTCACCCCCGAGTGTGGCCCACGCAGAGCAGTTCAGTCAAGGACATGGCAGCCAGGCAGCGTAGACAAGATTCTGCCCTCACACCCCATCGCGCACAATTGATGCTGCAGGGCATGGGCAGAGGGCGTGGCTGCCATGGTGCTGCTGGGTGATGAGCAGGCCCTGGAGGTGCTGAGTGGCCCTGCGGGCAGGCAGGGTGGGGGTGGGACAGGGGGTGGAGCAGGGGCGGGGCCAGTTTTTGGGTACTCGGTCTCTAAAAGGTTTGCCATCACTGAGGTAGCCTATTACAGGTAGTCCTTGACTTACAACCTTTTGTTTGGTGACCATTCAAAGTGACTTTCACACTTACAAACACTGAAGCATCCCCACAATCACAAAATCAAAATTCAGGTGCTTGGCAATTTGCTTATATTAATGATGGTTATGTGATCACCTGTTGTGATCTTTTGACAAGCAAAGTTAATGGGGAAGCCAGATTCGCTTAATAACCATGTTACCAATTCAACAATTGCGGTGATTCACTTAACAACATTGGCAAAAAAGGTCATAAAATGGGACAAAGCTCACTTAATAACTGTTTCACTTAGCAACAGAAATGTTGGGGTCTATTGTCAAGGGCTATTTATATTTTAAGTGTTTAAAATTAATATCATTTCCACCACCCCCAAATTGGGGCAGAATTTTTGATTGCAGAGCTGATATTTTCAAGATGCTACAGCTTCATCTGAGACTTCTGAGATTGGAATTCTGTAACTCAAAATAACCAGATCAGGGAAGGCATTGCTGGAGCTTTTCAACACTAAAATCCACTTCTACACTATGCATAATAAATACCATCTTGTGTAATATATTACGTTTAATCTAATGTATTGATATTTTGCCACTATTCCTCCCAATGTAATGGAAACAGAGTTTTTCAAACATTTTCCGGGGGTCGTTTTCATCCCACCAACCCACAGTCAGAACAGCTTTAGAAAGTCTTCAGGCTCATTAACAGAATTGTTCTTATTTATTCTAACAAGGTAATCCTGAGATTCTTAAGGTGACATTACCTTTTGGGTCATTATGAGTTAACAGCTGAATATCAAATTCTTTTGCAAATAAAGTCAGATCTGGTGGCATTACGCAACAAGAAGCAAGATTCACTTGGTTACTACTTGGTTTCACCTAAAACAAATGAAACATTCAATGTGTAATAAAGTTTGTGTCTTAATGGAATTGAATTCATAATGAGCAACTTCTTTCTTACCTGTGCCCACCTGAAGAGCTGTTCTAGCAACGTTTTATCTAGATCAGAAGTCCCTATGGCAACAATCTTTTTGTTCTGGACTAAGTTTTCAAGCTCTGCCCAGTAAGGTTGTAAATATTCTAAAGAAAAATTAATTCCATCTTCCATTGGAGGGGGAGAAATGATCACAGAATCTAACTGTTCCACACCAAGAGCTGAACATGCTAAAAATAAACAACAAAAAAAAGTAGACAAGGAAGAATTTTTACAGACTTTTAAAAAGCAGGAACAACTTATTTGTAATTCATTTACAATTTATTTATTTTATAGCACATTCTATGCAATGCATCTAGAAAATGTAAAACATAAAAATAGCTATAAATTAAAACATATAATGAAATTTGCTTAAAAAAAGATGAGAGACATAAAAACAAAATCAAAAGATACAAGTATCTAACAGAATTAACAATTCAGAAATGGATCAGTCTATAAAATTCTAGAATGTTCCATTCATATCATCCTCTGAGAGTTCAGTATGGTCTGGAAGGCAAGCAAAATGATCTGGAGTTCAAGTATAATTCACTCACAAATCAATATTTGCGCATTCCTTTGGCATATTCATACAGGTACAACATTTTGACAGTTGTAACAAGTATGTCATAAAATGCATGGTAAAGTGTTTTAGATTGCAGATGCCGACATAGAGCAGGCCTGTGAATCTATAGATCTTTAGAACCGTAAAGATCAGCAAAATTATTTTAACTTACAATGAAGTATCCATGAAAAGAGGAGAGAAATATACTGAAGGGTAGGGAAAAAAAAACCCTAGAGTTCATAAATAGGCTTTGAAATTCAGCTGTAAAATAAAAAGTTACTGTAAAAGTTAACTGAAAAGTTAACATGTCACCTAGTACCTTCCCTATCTTTATATACTTTTCCCCTTTCTACATCCATGCTTTTTTTTCTCAGTAGCCCAAAATAATTTTCAGCATGCTATAAGAAAAATAAATGCCTAATTATTGTCAAGGGGCATAGGAGACTTCTAACTTGCTTTGCAAGAGCACTCAAGTTTACAAAGTCTCTGTTTCCTTTCGTGACAGAAGCTTGCATTTATTTCTCTAGAAGAAAAGGACAATCTTTGTTTTTTGCCAGCTGTAGTTCAAGGACAAAGATGAAAGGACATGAAAGTCTTTTTAAAAAACCAAAACCTTGAGATAAATCTGACAGCTGTTTTAGTTACAAAAGTGTCGGGCTTTTTTAAAAATGTACAAAATATAACTGGGCAGTCACTCAAATTTATATTTTGAACTTACTCATATTGACTGCTTCTCTGATTGATGAGGAGTTTGATCTCGTGATAAAGAGCTTTGCTGAAAATGAAAAGGCAATCGTTAACAAGGAAGGCAGGCAAAATGCAAGAGCATGCTTTTCTGGCTAAACATAAAAGCTCAGGATACATTGAGGGATATTTTTCAGTGGCATATCACAATTTTTATAAAACAAAAAAGCATCTTTGGTGAATGGTAGGGAAAAAATTTGAATCCCACCACCTCCAAAGATATTTGGTTCCGCTGTCAAATTGCACTTACCATTAATTATTTTTTCTAACATTCTTTGTACCTGTTCTAGTTTCTTCTTCTTCTTAAAGTGTGTGGCTCAGAACTAGAATTGCATTTGTCTTTTTGACCATTGTTTCAAGTATTCAGCTTTTGATTCATTAGATTCCAAGATCCTTTTTCCATATAGTTTTCACCTGGAAGTCCTCCATTCTACATCTATTCCTGATTTTAGTTTCCTTTGCATATTGTCTGTTTTTTTCCCTACTTTTTATATTATTTTCAGCCTATTAATAGGACCTATCAAAATTTATTTATTTTATCAAATTTTGAAATTGCCCATCTCCTTCACAAAAGGACTCTGGATGGCTGAATAATTTTCAGTTGTGATGACTTGCACAGGATCATCTTACAACCCTAAGCTTTGATTTAATGTTGTACAGAAATGCAACTGGTTTTATTAGACATAACTATATTAAATAGAAATATATTGAAATATATTGAAATGTGGAGTTACAGGCAGCTGTTATGTATAAGCTGGGTTGACAAGATCAGAAATGAGGAGGTGATAAGCCGCCTGGGAAAGCCAAGGGAAATCATCAAAACAATTAAAAAACGAAAATTATAATATTTCGGACAGGCGATGCGACACCCAGAAAAATATGGCATACTCCATTTAATCCTCCAGGGAAAGATTGAAGGCAAACGAGGTCCAGGCAGAAGAACATCGTGGCTTCAAAATTTAAGGGACTGGTTTGGACAAAACTCAGCAGCACTTTTTCGTGCGGCTGCTGATAAAAATAGGATCGCCAACATGATCGCCAATGTCCGATAACGGATATGGCACAAGAAGAAGAAGAAGATTAAATAGAATTCCTATTCACCAAATGAACCTCCATTTCAATCTCACTTTTCGATGCTGTGTAACCAAGGAGCTTAAAAGTAAAGCTAATAAGTAAAGGAAGTAAAAATTATTCATAGTTTTGCAACCTAAAGCACAAAACTGATTTTTACCTGAAACTTTCAATTCTTCTCTTTCTTCAGAATTAATCTTTTCTACGGCTTGTGGAAGAGTACAGTCAATAATGTCAGGAATTTCCTGAAATAAACATTTAAATATAATCTGTATCTTGAAATAAATAATCATGAGCAGCTTTCTTCTTGGGGCAGCTAAGCATTTCCAATACACTGTCAGCTGCAAAATGCATAATGACACTTTAAAATAAATGTTCAGTTTTTAAAAAACAAAGTGGCTATCAAGATAAAAGTTATGACTCCCCTTGGTCTAAGGCAGGGGTGTCAAACTGCTGGCCCGCGGGCTGGATGCATTGCGCGGAAGCTGCGTCCACCCCATTGCCGGCAATGACAAAACTTGTCCCGATACGTTGCGTGATGTCATGTGACGTCGCGAGTTTGACACCGCTAGTCTAAGGTTATCCCCCTGCTCCAGAGGGAATAACCTCCAATTTGTTCATGCTCTTACGTGAAACTGGCATTATTAGCCAGGAAGAGCAAGACAGTGACGTGCATATCATTTACAGGTTGTATATTCATTCTCAATTCCGAAGATAGGCTTACAGTACTGTAAATGGGCAGCAATCTCCTTTTCCAATAATTCAGCTTCAAAGTACTTTTTACAGATCTGTGTTGCTATTTTTTTTAACGAACACAAAGAGAATTTGAACATCCCTAAAATCCATTTCACAAGTTTGCTTTTTTTAAAATGAGGATGGGGTGGGATACCAACAGTCTGGCAAACAGAGCCCACAGGAACTAAAGAATCTAACCTGCACATATGGATACTGCAAATAATCTATAACCTCCCCATTAACTAAAATTGTAATTTTCCAAAGTTATCAAACCTCATCAGATTTTGATAATTTTGCAGCTTCTTTAGTATTATTTGTAAAACTGCCAGAAATCTATTAAGATTTAACCTTTGGCCTGTTTAGATACAAGGAAAAAAATATCCAGACTGCACAATAGTGTTATAAATATGAAACACTGCCAGTCCCTGCTCCACACAGGTTTGATGTTCTTATTGTATCTTCAATGATTCGAAGATAGATGCAAAAAGCATACTGAAACAATTCTGAAACAACCTGATCAGCATACACCTGATATTTCTTGTTTTATTTTTATTTCAGGGTACACACTGCTGATAGGTAAAGACAGACCTACTTTCATGCATGATTCTTAATGAGGTACTTTCTGTTTACATTTTATCATGTAAATCTCAATTGACTAGAACTGATAACAATTCAAAACTGATTTATGTTACACCACAAGCAGTTTTTTTTAAAAAAAAAACTATTCCCAGTGAGTGAAATATTATTTATTTAAATAATGATTTTTTTGGTAATTTATTTTGTTCTTATGTTATTAGTAACAATCTTTCTGCTAAGTTTGTAGGAAGCTTATTTCTAGGTCAACAATTCCTAAATCTTTTTTCAGATGATTTTATTGTTTTATTTAGTGGCTCTTATATTAATTTTTAGATTTCATTTTTATATTATTGTGACTTGCTAGTCTTAACATTTTCTGTCCCTAATATTCTTTTCAGTTACTCTTTTATTTAATTTAATCTTACCTGTTTGGCCTAAAGATCTTTATTTGCTTTGTAATTTGCTTCGTGCTGGTTAGTGCTTATAATGAAGACTGATGGTAATGATTAAAGAAATATGAAAAGATTGCTTACTTGCATCAGATCAGAGCTGATTTTCGAATTCCATTCATTTAAGGTTTTCTGAATGCAATCCCGCAGCTGCAAAGAACATTCCGGTATTAACATTTGGTTTCTGTTATTCAACATAAGAAATAAATTAAACAAAAAACAGTGTAAAAATAACTTTCCAGTATTCATCTATTCCTTCTGCCCCTATATATATATCAGTTATGGATGTCATAGCTTACATAGCACAACAAACATGAGAACAAACAGTAGATGGTACACTTCTAAACTGTTATTCATAGGCTTTATTAATGAAGTGTATGTACTCTTTTTAATGCCAAATGGGGGCAGCACTTAGCAAAGTGACTAATCATAAAACAGGTATGGTAATTGCTTACGGTAGTACTTGATGGGAAATCACTTGGGAATACCAGGGCTCTGGGTTTACCAAAGGTATCTACTCTTGAGAAAGCTAATGGCAATCCACTTAGGTACTGTTGCCAAGAAAATGGCATGAATACACCAATGAAATTACAAGAGGCTGAAGTTGACTGAAGACTTTAGTAAAGGAAGCAAATAAACTGTCCATTTGGGGAACTATGTTCTGAATCAAAGATAACATACTGCTTTCTATAGCCCTCTTCCATTTTTATCCCCAGGAAGTATTATCAATGTTAAGTCCTTCCTTGTGAACTTCCTGAACACATCTGGTCAGTTATGGGTGTCACAGAATACTAGACTAAACTGCCCATCAGCTTGATCCATTACCACTCTTCTTACATTTCTAAAGTCTCTATCAAGCTCAGAAGTTTTGGTACACAGAAAATAAAAACACCCAAATTATCAAAAGGCAAACAACTAGGGAACTGAAATTATTTGATCTCTTCCTCACTGTCACACTGGAGAAACTGTAGAAGCAGAAGCTTCATTATGTAAATCGGGGGTCTTCAAACTTGGCCCTTTTATGACTTGTGGACTTCAACTCCCAGAATTCCTCAGCCAGGCATGCTGGCTGAAGAATTCTGGGAGTTGAAGTTCACAAGTCATAAAAGGGCCAAGTTTGACCATGTAAATCATGGTTAACCACAATGTCTGTCTCAACCATTAATTATGCATTCCTGCTTAAAAATATAAGAAATACCTTAGCTTCATTAGCCATAGTTTATCTTTTTATATCCCACCAAACTAACTCTCCCCCTCCCAAACTGCTGAGTATCTGAAGACAAGTTGAAGTTTATTTATTATAGGTAAATCTATTAATTCTCTTCTCAGCTGATACAGGCCAAAATGATTTTTGACATCTCTTTTTAAAAGAGAGAGAGACCTGTCACCTTATCTCGCTACTAATTATTTGTTGTAAAAGAACAGTTCACAGGTGCTATAAATACATCCAATGCGAGCTGCACTGGTTGCCAGTTTGTTTCTGAGTCCAATTCAAGATGCTGATTTTAACTTTTAAAATCCTTCATGGCATACAATAGGATTCCCTGGTTATACCAGCCTGCCCCACTTGATCTGGCAGAGAAGGTAGGATCTAGGTACCATTGGCCAGGGCCTTCATTTGATGGGTCCCAGAAGACCTGCCTTCTCTGCTGTGGTGCCCCGCCCTTTGGGACTTTCTTCCCTCCAAAGTGAGACTAGCTCCCTTATAGTATTCCCCAAAGCCCTCAAGTCTTGACTATGTTGTCAGGCCTGGGGCTCACCGATATCCAAGGACCCACTCAGATGGCTCTACTGTTCTGGTGGCCATTTTATCATCCCTCTCCTGTGGGTTGTATTTTCACTTTTTGATAAGGTTTTTTTTGTATTGCATTTTTTTTGTTTTTATTTATTGTTCCTATTAGCTCTTGACTGCTGCCCAGATTGCTCCCTCTGGCGAGCTAAAATAAAAATTCTAAGCGTCAAATTGATAAATTGACAATAAGATGGTTTTAAACAGCACATTTGTCTATTATTTATTGATAGCACTTGGGACTCTGTAGATTCCTTTAGTTGGAAACAAACAAACAGTACTTAAAGCCACAGCTGGTTGGGGGCTATTATTTTATTTATTCATTTCTATACTACCCATCCTTCCAAAGTGACTCTTCGTTGTTTCGGGCCAAAATTCCACTATATTATAAATAAATAATAAATAACACCTCTGTACTTCTGAGTTATATCTCATATGACCACCCTTGTTTTAGCTGACTCTAATGCAGTGGTTCTCAACCTGTGGGTCGGGACCCCATTTGGGGTCGAACAACCATTTCACGGGGGTCGCCAAACAGGGCTGTCTGCCATTTTTTCCCCCTTTCCTTTGGCCACGCCCCTGGCACCCGGTGATGTATAAGTGGTTGGGGGTCACCACAACATGGGGAACTGTATTATGGGGTCACGGCATTAGAAAGGTTGAGAACCACTGCTCTAATGGTATTTATGTTTATTTATCTATCAATCTTACACAGCTGACCACTTTACAATGTGGCTCCAGTCTAGCAGTTCTGCACTGCCTTACAAAGTCTCTAAATAGTAATGTGCATTAATATCCACAGAATTCAATGTGCTGGTGGATAGTTCTCCTAGTTGTGGAAAAATACTGCCAGCTTCGACTGGTGATTTTAAAAGTACAGAATTTGGGAGAATCTCCTGTTCATACAGCCATTTATTGAGAAGCTTCAACATGTTAAAACAATTCCAGGATTACACTCAGCTTTTCAAGAGTTGGACAAAGTAGTTAGCATTGATTACTAGCTTGCACAAACTGAAAGAACACACCCAAAAAAGAAACCTATCCAAAGACTGCACATTGCAGGTCAAGATTAGAAGTGTGTAATACTCTGGCATGTCTCCAAGAACACAAGGTGCTGTCTAAGAAATGAAAGGCCTCATTTGCATTAGCTAACGTCAGTGTTCATGACACCGCCATCACATGACCAAAGAACAACAATGGTTTGTATGGCAGAGTTGAATGGAGAAAGCTACTACCTTCCAAAAAGAACACTGCTGCCTGTCCACAGTTGGCAAAAGACCACGTGGATAAGCCAGAAGACTATTGGAAAAATGTTCTGTGAACACATAAGGCCAAGATAGAACTTTTTGGCTTGAAGGTAAATGTTAAGGTCTATCAAAAGGTAAACATTACATTCCAGCATAAGAACCTCATCCAATCTTTGAAATATGGCAATGGCAATGTCATGGTTTACTGCCTCTGGACCAGGATGCCTTGCTATCACTAACATAACTATGAATCCTGAACTGTACTAGGGTGTCTTTCAGGAGAAACTGGGTCATGTAGCAAGATAGTGACCCAAAACCCACAAGTCATAAAACCAAAAATTAAAATTAGTTAAAGCAGAAGAAAGTCAATGTTCTGAAATGGCCAAATCAAAGTCCTAAGCTTAATCCTATAGTAATGTTGTGAAAGGACTTGAGGCAGGAAGTTCATGCAAGGAACTCTTCTAACACCCCTGAGTTCTTGCTATTCTACAAAGAAGAATAGGTTAAAATTACTTGATCAAGTAACTTTGATCCAATTTTGTTTGCAGCTTTTGCCATATTTAGGTAATTTAAAAAAAAAACCCCAAAGTGTCTCAAATGTTAGCATCTCACAGTAAGTCATACTTCCACATATGACCTGAGGCTAGAATGTGATTTCCTGCTTTAATTATATCAGGATTCCATCCTTCAATTACAACCAGGGTGAGGCAAATATATTTGGTTGAGACATGCTGCAACAAAACTATTACACAGTTCAAGCTGCTCACATTTTATATTAAGCTAGAAATGAAAAATAAAATAGAAAAGTTTATCTTTGCAGGTGTTATTTCAGTATAACAATCTAACCTGGGTCTTAAAAGAAAAGAGAGGAACTGTGTTTCCCCAAATATTACTGGAACATAACTCTCAGCAGTCAATGGGGTTTGGTACTAGGAGTTATCTTTGGCCAGATTAAGGCAGACTTTTTCACTTTCATTATAACTGCTGATCAAACTTTCAACCTGTTCAAATTCCTGGCTTAAAATATAAAATTCCAAAATCAACAATTTGGCCCTTGCAGGTTCCATAACATGCCACTATTTCCATGTTTGGATGAAAATACTCTTTTGCCTTCTCTTCCCCAAGATGTTTCCCTTTACCAGAAATACTTTGAAGGCACCTTTGTAGTCTTGTCCCATGGGCAGGAAGCACTGCTCAAGTTTTACTAGAACTTTTACCTCACAGTTATGGAATGTGTTGACTTTGTGGACTCTTATTTTGCCACTGTACAAAAGCACCACCTAACAATAAAAAACTGCCATTTATACTGATTTGTTTCCAGAACATATCACAAATTCAATCAAACACTGAGACTGCCGTAATTAATATTCATCAGGTTGTAACTTGCATTTCTTAAAGTTAAAAAATAATCCACTCTACATATCATTTGTAGATGGTATAGTATGTTGTATATGTGTGCATGTGTATATAATACTATACACATACGCATAGTACTATGTATAGTATATCTTACAACAGGACAAACCAAAAAGAGGAAACAACTGAATGGCACTACAAGCCTCAATTAGAATAATTTATATGTTTCCTCATGGAGCAACAATTTACAACCCACTGCAAATAATGGGCTAGTTGCACTTCTGAAGCTGTCCATCCTATAGCGACTACCATCAGTATGCTACAACTCTTCCTGCCCAGGTATCCTGCAGCAGTGCCAAAAGTTAAGCCTCTGTATTTCTTCTAAAAATAGTATAGCAAAATTTAAATAATTTATTTTCAACCTCAAATTTTTGAAAACATTAAGATTAAGGATGCCATGCTGGAGCAAAAGAGCTTCAAGTGGAGGCTGCAATGTGGAATACTCCACTATGTTTTAACAAGAGGTTCAGTTCTATCTCTTGAGACCTGAACAGCAATAAACTATTTCTTTTTTTTCTTTTTAATAATTTTTTATTTTTCCAAACTCTACCCCATACATATACCATGATATTTATCAGATGTTAACATACATTCTTTTTACATTCATACATAAGATACTTTTAATAAAATGAAATAAATACATACACATGACTTTTGGTGTTGCTCGCCCATTTCCCCTTTCACTGTATCCACTCCTTCTCTACCTTCTTTCTCCCTTTCTTCTCTTCCCTACTTCCCTCTTCTTCCTCTCCTCTTTCCTTCACCACTCTCCTCCCCTTTCTCCCCACTTCTCCTCTCCTTTACTCTTTTCTCTCTCCTCTCCTTTCTTCCCTCTCATCCCTCTTCAGATACAATTCAGGGGTAATGTCCGACCAACTCCTCTCTCCAAATTTCCCTATCTGTATTATATACAATAAGATTAATTTTCTCTTATATTAATACTTCTATTTAAGGGATAAACTATTTCCAATCACACCCCATGCAATCAGCTGTACAACCATGCAAAAGAAGAGAACTGTTAAGAAGTTTATTACTACTACTACATTCCTACTATTGCTATATTTTTTTTATCATGATTTCTGTCCACAAACACTCTGTCTATGTTCATACTAGTATATAGTCTTGTAATTAGTGCAACACTTTTTGAACGTGGACTCTCTTCTTTAAATACTTATGCCCTAATAAATGTTAATCTTTATGGTGCCATAGACTTTTAGTTGACTCTATTCAAAGTCAATTATTTTGACAGTTACTATAGTCAGACCTTTGGAAAAATTCTATACATCTATTACACAACCAAGTCAACATAAATATACATTAGTTATAATGTATACAGTATATTTTATTCATCTCTTGAAGGATGAATTTTGATTTTTAAAAAATAATTCATATCCCAAGCTTTTTAGCGTTTTAAGCTTTATAGCAATTTTGCAGCTGCTCCTTACCTTTGAACTCTACCTCACTTGTCCCTACAAGACTTTTCTGTGTCATAGTTAAAAATCCAGAGTTCTTTCCATTTTGACTTTTTGCTAGGGAAGGCCCAAACAAAAATACTGTATTGCAAGGCAAAACGTTTTACATGAATGGCTTGCGAGATCAGGCTTAAGAGACTTGAGTTAGCTCGCTCCTCAGTGAGAGGAGCAAACCTTCATTCAGCTGCCTCTTGAAAAAAGGGACAAACCATGACCTGGATGATTAAGGATCTCCATGGACATTAAACTACATTCCGGCACTCCAAACCACCTTTATTATAGGCAGTAAAGTCGGTCACAACCCGAGGTTTGGCTTTGCCGTGATAGAGCCATCCGCACTCACCCGAGGCTCAGGAAAATCAAAATACGAGGCAAATGCCATTCCGCACAAGCGGCGTCCACCTCCTCCATCGTCTCGTCGGCAAAGGCATCGCGGGACGACCCCTTAATCGCCGTCTATCCCCCCCCCCACACACACACTCATCTCTTCTTGACGCTCACCTCCTCGCTGGGGGTGGCCGGGCATTTCTTCCGCAAGCGGCCCCAGTTGAGCAGGTTGCCGGTTTGCAGGTTGAGAGTGCGCGCTTGTCTCAGCAGGGCGGCCGCTCGGCCGCTCTCGGTGCCCATTGCCGGCGCCCGGATATCGCGCCTCTCTCTCTCTCTTTCAGCGAGGAGGAGCTGCTGCTGTGCCGCCGGGTTCGGTCGGAAAGGTGGAGAAGTATATTGCCGCACTCGAGTTGCCTCCTCAGAGGGCGAGGAACGATGACTAAGCAAATAACAGTGCTCGGTCACCCTCCCCGATCACATGGCTTGGGGACAATAGGGGCAGGTGGCCGGCTAGGGCAAGGAGCGGAAGCGGTAGCGGTAGCGGCAGCAGCGCGCTGGCAGCGGAGGAGGCGCGCTGCCGGGAAGAGTCTCCGGCGCTGAACGCCTGGCTTAACCCCTCCCAAGAGAAAGTGCAGCGGCGCCGCCGAGCCCAACGTCTCGCAATCGGCGCATGCCTGAACATCCCGAGCATGTGCCGTGGTTGCCGCGGGTCCCGCCGCTTTCCGGGAGATGGAAAGAGCGTTGAGTAGCGGCGCCCTCTGCCTGCCGCCGGAGGTATTAACGCGTCCCACCTCTTCCACCGCCGCCCGTACCGTACTGTACAGTACATATTTAATTTCAGTTTAAGTTTGAGGGTGTCTTGCGGCGTGGTTCTGCTTTGCTTCTGTTCAGCGTCCGTTCTCATCCTTAAATTTTTTCTTCGGTCCCACTAGCTTTCGGCAATAGTGTGTAATCCTAGAAGAGAAACGACATCCTAAAAGGGAAGCCTTTTGGCACGCTTTGAATGTTCTTCCAGAGTCTCATTTCACTACTTAGTTATTTATATCGCGCCTGTGTTGTTTTTATGAATAATTCAACTCGGCGAGCATACCCAATGCTCCTTTCTCCTCGATGTGCTATTTGCAAGCATGGTGTACTCCATCTTCCATAATGAATGTGAATGCGAGAATCTGAGTTCATTTATTTCCTAGCAATTATTTGTGCTGTTTATCCGATCAAGAACCTGGAGGAACCTTTTACCTAACTCTGCATCCAGCCACGTATCGGTGGGAGTGTTTTACTTTGCGGAAATATAGCACTGTAACGTGGTATTACCAATATTGGAAAGACAGGAGAGGGTCAAAGTCCTTATTTTGTTTACTGTAATGATCAAATCGTTCCTGAGTGTTTGTATTTCTCAGCTTTCTTGGAAAATGAGTTCTGAATAATTACAGAGTTATAAACAAATTTAAGTCATTATTATTTTCTTTTGACAGACTATGTTATTTATATTGCTGTGCAACCAGGATTACTGTATATCAGTAGGGCTGACATGGTGCAGTTAATTCCCAGTGCTAATTCTCAGCATTCCTGAAATTTGCTTCAGAATAGAAAATACTAATCTGAAATGGTTGCCTGTTGCATCCCTGAATGACAGTAGTGCCCTGTCTATCTTCCAACAGATTCTGTCGGGTAAAAGGATTAGCTAACAATATTTTTGCTCACTGTTAAAAATATTTTCCATTTCAACTCTGCATGAGTTATTGTTCCAATTGTCAGAACCACACTCTTGTTTTAATTTGTTAAAAATATAATTAGGTATCAGAACTTTAGGCAATGTTCTGTAAACTGATTATATTTTATGGGAAATCAAGAGTAAAAGCACCTTCCCTGGCATAGAAATTTTTCCCACCTCTTTATTTTTGTTTTTTCTCAAACAATCTTTTTTTTAAAAAAAAAAACCTCAAAAACCCATGTCTCACAGGATATACACCAATTAATCCAAAGCCAAGTCACTGTCTGATTGTCTAATCATTAACCCTCTGCTATATTATTTGTATAAATGCCACAGAAAGATCCAAGATTGTAATTCCTTCATATACTCACTTTCTACTTAAAAGTAATTACCACTGAGTGCAGCAGGGTTTATTCTCAACTAGAATAATACAACATTGCAGTTTTGAGTTCTATAATAAAAGCTATTATTTAATAAACACAGCTGCAAGAATGGGATCAATTGTATAACAGCCAGTATGAAATGAAAACTGAAATATTTTTGATACTCGGGTTGCGTAATCTCCCCTTTTGTGTGAATTTGATACAAAGAATGCATTCTGAAGTTTGGAATTTGCTGCTGCAGGCTTTTATTTCTCACTGTCTATTGGTCTCCGATAATGGTTAACAAAATCTTGGCTGCTTCCCAGAGTGCTGCAGTAAAAATGGAGCGAATATATTAACAAGCGCACAAGGTGAGAGGATAACATCTCATTCTAACGATATACCAGCTATATTTGCTATTTAATATTAGCATGCCATTTCAAAATGAAGGAACATAAAAGTTACCTGGTGAACACGGAATACAGTTTTCTGTGTATATAAAAGCAAGATGTGAAACTTTTTTTGTGGCCAAGAGACATAATTTTTAGATCAATTTTATCCCAGTGGTAAAGTTATAGGAGAATTGCAGTGATATGATGTAATCAAAGGGGGTAGAGGGGTTTTTTTCAATCTCATTTTGTGGTTGGGTTTTATATATGTGGAAAAGTATATCAAGCCTTCCAGAATAAGAACAACTGAGAAGGGAGTGGAGCAAATGAGGTTTGGAAGTTGCATGCATCTCACTGATTTTTCATCCCTGCATTCAAAGTTTTATAATGGTGCATTAATATGTGTGATCAATTGCATGTTAACGCATAGGGACATCGCAGCCTCTGATAGTATAAGTGATTTTAAGACTTGAGATGTCAAACAGAATTTTGCTGTTAATAGTGAGGCTAATAATGTAAATTGGGGCAGTACCTGGAGACAGCAGAATAGAAGGGAAAGAACTAGACAAAGTAACAAAATACAGAAACCTGCAATTAGAAGTAGAACAACTGTGGGAGAAGAAAGCAAAGACAATACTAACAGTACTGTAATAGGAACCTTGGGCACAATCCCAAAACAAGTGGAGCACCACTTAAACACCATAGGCATTGCAAAATCACCACCAGTCAATTGCAAAAGGCAGCTTTACCTGGAACAGCTTACATCCTGTGACGATACCTTCAACATATCCACTTCTGCCTATCCCAGGGCTTGGGAATGTCTTGCTAGTGGGACAAAAATGCCAAATCCAGTCTGAACATCTGGCTGACTGTCCAATGAACCATAATAATAATGTCGGTTCAAAAGAGGTTGCAGTGTAAATAAACAATAAAAAAAATCACCATAGTCCTTAGAATCTGAGCATCCCAACAAACAACATCAAATCAGCAAGAGATCAACAGCAACAGAACATACCATCATTAGCTGGGAAAGGCTACACAGTATCTGATCACATTAAAAGACAAAGGACAGATGTTACATGGCATCCGAAATCACTAAGGCTGGAGTTTCAGGTTTTTTTGGGTGCTACCACTAAGAGGAAAACCTGTTTGGTGTAGTGGTTAAGGCACAAGGATAGAAATGGAAAGATTTATGAGTTCTAGTTCCCCCTTAGCCACAAAACCAACTGGATAACTTTGGGACAGCCATTTTCTCTCAGCCCTAGGAAGGAGGCAGTGGCAAACTTCTTCTAAAAGTGTTGCCAAGAAATTGCAGGGATTTGTCCAGACAATTATCAGGAGTGCAACTAACTGTAAGACCTGCACATGTGCACCCATGCATGTGCACATACACACAGGCAGACATATCACCACAACCATCAGGAAGACTTCTTCCAGTAGCTACACATCTAAATCAAGAGGCAAGTCTGCCCAAATAACTAAAATATTTCAGTTCAACGTTTGGTAAAGATTCAGAAAAATCAGTGCTATAATATTTATGTATCTATGTTGTAATTTTATAGGTGAGTTCCACTGACAGATGTATAGGACCTTCTACCCTCAGAATCCGAGACACATAATGGTGTAAGCATCTTTATTTTAATAAATAGATATTTGTAACATGCTTCCTATTTATACAATCACAAAGCAGTTGGCAACAATACTATAAAGCAGGAGTCCCCAACCCCTAGTCTGTGGACCAGGACCAGTCTGTGGCCTATTACAAACTGGGCCAAGTATGTGAGTGAAATTTCATCTATGCATGCATGGGATCTAAGTGGCTCATGAAAACACACACACACACACACACACACACACACACACGGGGGGGGGGCAGGCCTGTGGAATAATTGCCTTCCAAGAAAATGGTCCCTGGTGCCAAAAGGGATGGGGACCACTGCTATAAAGCAATCTGTTTACCTTAATTCCTGGGTATAAACATGCAATTTAAACATTCCTTTAAAAATACCTAAAATATTCTACTATTGTACTCTACATGCTCTGAGCTTAGCAACACAGAACAGAATTGTGATTTCTTCACAAATAAGTGTTTTATTTGCCAAGACTTTTGGATTTCATGCAACAAACACTGGATTGACTGATAATGATTTGTGACACAATCCCTTCTATTTTAAAAAACAGAGATTTGATACCAAAACACTGTTTTTTACCAGTTAGCTCTGGCCAGCTGGGTGACTTTAGGCCAGTCACTCTCTTAGCCCAACTCACCTCAGAGGGTTATTGTTGAGGGAAAAATAGGATGAAGATGTGTTGGATATATTCACCACCTTGAGTTATTTGTGAAAATAATAAAGCAGGATACAAATAAATAAATGGAGATGGGAATCTCTAGTTCTATCAGTTTGGAGATCTAGATCCCTGATCCTCCACTGAAAGATAATTATGACTTTATTGGGATGAACTAATATTGGAAAAGCTGCAGTAAGCCAGATAGAGATAGGAGTAGATAACATATTAGTATATTACCTACTCCTGCCATAATTGGATGTGACTTTTTCCTTCAAAAATTAAAGAAAGGTTAACGGAATTAAGTAAAAGACTACTAGCAGAGTTATCAAAAACTATATTTTTATTTCTAATTTTTGCTTCAAGTCTGAAACCTGTTTACTGATCCAAGAACACTATTTTTTTAAAAAAACAAGAACACCTGCTTAGATGCCCAGCCTTGCTTATTGAAGATGATACTCTAACTCTCACTCATTTTGTGATATTTTCTTGGCTTATTCCAAGAATACATCAATTCCACAATATCAAATACTGCCTCAGCCTCAGTTACTAATGTCTGGTTTTGTTTACAGTTTGAGAAACAGAAAATGTGCAGCAGATGAAGGAAAGCAGAAATGTCCAAATGTGTGTGCTGATTTAAGATAATGGATATTATGGCTATAAGCCATACCAAACTCATGCTATGAGGAAAGGATAACTAACACTGAAAGAGAATTAATCCTCAACAGTTAATATTTCATAGACTAGACTAGAGTATGCACTCTGCTTTTAGAGAGCAAATATCCTCTCAAAGTAAAAATCCCAAAATATATAATCAAATCCTGAAAACAGTATTTACTGTCTAATAATGTATTATTTAAATATTTTATCTTTTACTAAAACTCTTGTGCCTGTTTGTCTGTGACCATCAATTGGACATAGGGCAACAATTTTTGAACCAAGGTAACTCAAATGGGCTAACTTACAGAATGCCAGGAACCATTACTTCCATGGAAATGAAATGTGGGACAGTTGTGGCCAGTTTGGCACTGCCACAGTGTTGCAGTCAGTCACAGTCAGATAATTGTAATTTCCAACGCTGCCTGACAGCTTCCCACAAGTCAATGTGGAACCTGACAGGAAATATAAATCAATTGTGGTTCCTGGCACTCCCTGACAACTTCCCACAAGCAAAGCTGTCCGGGAGCATTGGCAATAGGAAAGCTGGCAAGGAATGCAAGTTTGCTTGGATTAGTCTCCTCCGCCACCGTTCGCTGTGCTAGCGACTGGCACAATTCCCATGCCCCCTTCCTGATCTTCGTTGTAGACACATCTATCTTCCCTGACTCATGTGGCACCTCTTGCCCACCTCTATAGCACTCTATAGAGCAGGGCTTTTCAACCAGTGGTACGGGTACCACCTGTGATACATTGGCATCTGGCAGGTGGTAGGTGACCATCCTAGAAAAGTGGTAGCGGGGGAGGGGAATGAACTGAACCGGTGGCAGCATCACACAAGCCTGAGCGAGAGATGGCTGGAGTTGCAGGGCTGTCAGAGCTCAGTCGAAGCACCAGGATCAGTGCCGCTTTCCAGCTGATCGGCACTTCTTTGGGGCTGTCAGGGCTCAGTGGAAGTGCCAGGATCAGCGCCAGGGTCCAGCTGGAGCTTGACGCTGATCCTGGTGCTTCTGCTGAACCCTGAAGAAGCACCAATCAGCTGGAAAGCAGCACTGATCCTGGCACTTCTGAGCCCAGAAGAAGCGCCAATCAGCTGGAATGTTGCAGCTTCTCCAGGATCTTGTGATTTACATTCAGATCCTTGGCAACTGATTCATATTTATGATGGTCACAGTGTCCCCGGGTCATGTGAAGTGACCAAAACCTGCTGCAACCACCCAGCAGATGGGGGGAATAAAAACCAAACAACCCCCACCCCACCCCCACTGCAAATTCTCAACAGAAATGCTCACAACAATGAAAACCACGGACAGGAGGAAGAGTGCCACTGGGTGGGCAGGCAGGTGTCTTGCTTGGCTGTGGCTTGGGGGGCACTTTTTTCAGTGCCATTGTAACTTCAAACAGTCACTAAGTGAACTGTTGTAAGTCGAGGACTACCTGTACTTTATCACTTTTTTCCTTTTTTTTTTTTGGTCATCAGGTTTTTGACACCTTGCTAGGTGACTGGTGGTACTCGGATGTTGTCATATCCTAAAAGTGGTACAATGGGTGAAAAGGTTGAAAAGCCCTGCTATAGTTCCAACTCTACTTAACTTCTGAGGTTAAGTGCTGCTATCAGATGAGATGAAAGTTATCTAGGTGCTACCACCAGCTGAGACTAAAAGCAAATAGCAATACCTGAAGTTCATCCAAAAATAAATTCATGCAAGATGATTTAACACCTAGCTCCACAAGTATTGTATGTTGGGTACTGTATCCTGGTCACAGCATTCAATTATACAACATGGGAACTTTCCAAGGATTACAACTAAAAGGAGAGGTGTCTTTACTTGTGTTAACATGTTTTGTGCAGCACGTCTTGGAATAATTTTCACTAGTCCGTTGATTATTGTAATATACCTTATATAGGGCTGGCCTTAAAGATGACCCATAATAATAAAAGGGCCACACAGCCCCATAAATTCTTCAACTTAAGATATTCATCAAAGCATTGGAGGGAGCTGAAAGGGAAGGGGAGGAAGGGATTTTGTTTAAAACAATTTTTTGTGTTTCTACATTTGGGATTTTAGGGAAGCTGTTGCTGAACAAAAAATATTGTTATGTTCTGCTATTTTATACCTTAAAGTTAATTAGTGATTATTATCCAAAGTGCATGGTTATATACACCATTTTAATAAACACTTGCACATTACAGGTAGTCCTTAATTTATAACCACAATGGGAACCAGAATTGGGCTCATAAGTTAAGTTACCATGTGACTCGATTTTACAATGATCGTAAAACAAATCACCACAATCATAAAGTGAATCATGTGGTTGTTAAGCAAATTCACTCTCCCCAATGGGCGAAAACCAGCAAAATACTATACATTGTAAATCACAAACACTTGACATGAGACATTGCAACCGGCAGTAAATGCAAGCCAGTTGGTTGCCAAGCACCCAAATTGCAATTACATGACCCCTAGGTCATGTATATGTGACATTTTGCAACTTTTTGGAAGTCATTTACAGGCTATAAGGCACTCTTTCTGAGACTGTCAAAGAACCTTGGACACTACAGTACATGTATAGTATTTAGTGTTTACTGTGTGATGGAAAGATTCTAGCATACCAAATTTTATTTATTTATTTTACACGATTTAAAAGCTGCTCCACTCTATACAAATTCTGGGTGCCTTTCAACTTTAAAATCAAGAAGCAATAAAATAAAAGCATAGATTGTATACAAGGAAACAATCCACAACATACAAAAGTCTTATGAAGGCTCAACATCCACCCTATCACTTGACCGCTTTTTTTCAATAATTTTCTGAACATCAACAGGATAGAAGCCATATGGACTTCTGAAGAGATGCTGTTCTAGTGGGCAAACAATGCAATAAAGAAGGCACGCAGGTAGTCCTTGTTTAGTGACTGCCTCATTTAGCAACTCTTAGCAATTACAATATTGATGAAGAAGTAATTTTATGGCCAATTCTTTAATTTACGAATTGCAGGTCCATGAAGCAAGGTAAGCTGAAGTAAGATCATAAGCACATTTGTGGTTTCATTTAGCGGCTGCTTTGCTTAACTGAATCATCAGTCCCAACTTTGGTTACTAAGTGAGGACCACTTGTACTTTATAGGTACCAATAAAGTGTATTTTCTTCCAGACTGGGAAAATAGTTCATTAAGCACATCTTTTATGCACATATGTAACAGGATTCAGGGGTGCTTCTGTCCACACAATTCTGCTGCATGATGATGTGATTCATGGCTTCCCTGGCTAAAATTCCGGTCTTGTCCCATGTTACTAAGCATGGGGAAAACTGTCAACAGAATATGTCAGTGTGGTATTTTAAAACTCAGGACTCCTGGTCTAATCAAGTTTTGTTTCTCCCCCAAAAATTTCTAAGGTTGATTTCTCTACCTATCAATGACAGCAAAAGAATTACAATTTTATTTCTCTCTTGGTTGCCATCTAGTGGTCATCTCAATTAGTACAGACCAGATGCAGCAATAAACAATGCTCAAAAGCCAGCCCTTTCAGGGCTGTGGAAGAAATGTTATGTTGTGGGGTACCATCAAATATTTGAATCCTCATTCCAGAGTGGCTGTAACCACTCTGTGGGCCAATAGGGTAATATTCCCTTTAAAATACAATAATGCAGTTAAGGAAGATGGGAATCCAATCTTCCTCCCAATCATAACAATATTGCAGAAAGGCTCATTGTCCAGCAATTGGACAAGAAGAGGCATTCTTGCAGCAGCATTGCCAGGGCAATGGGAGATGATCATTTCCTGACCCCCCCCCCCGTAATCATGTCATCATACGCCTCCTTCTTGCACATTAGATTGCTTGAGAGGTTCTGTGCTGGGATAAAAAGGAAAACACCATTTCCCTGCCTAAAACTGATCTCAGATTGCCTCAGCAGAGGGCTGGCAAGTGAGATGATGTTGTGGTCATTCAAGCCACGTCAAGTAGGATGTCTAATTGAAACTACCAGTTCAGAATTGTGAGAAACCTGGATCTCAGTAGTTGTCAACACTTGACAGTGTAGGGCCTATATATTGGATCTGAGCAGGGCACTCTGTCCTCCAGGAGTCCTTGTCCAGTGGTGGGATTCAGCTGGTTCGCACCGCTTGGGCAAAACCGGTAGCTAATTTTTTGTTGCCCAGGCCCAGAATGGACTTCCGAAAGCGGTATCCACACAGAGACCCGGTTGTTTATATATTTGAATCCCACCACTGTCCTTGTCCCAACTCAAAGCTCAAAAAAAGGATCACTGTGAGCAGGCAACCTTTCTTTTCCCTTTTTCCTTTCTGCCTGCCTCCTGCCCTCATTATTTTTGTAAATAACTCAAGGCAGTGAACATGCATAATATTCCTTCCTACTCCTATTTTCCCCACAACAACAACCCTGTGAGGTGGGTTGGTCTAAGTCGAGATAGTGCCTGGACAATGGTTCATACTTTTTATCTCACTGGCATTTATTTTTACCAGTTCATATGCTGCAAACCTTCAACCAGCTCCACGCCACTCACATTATGAACACATACATGCACATTGTCAACTTTTTAAAAAGACAGCAGCTGTTAAAACTAAATTTTCTAAAATGCCTGGAGAAAACCATAGTTGGTTATCCCTCCTAAACTGTAATAAGCATGCCCTGAACCCCAGCAACAGTTATTCCACCAAGAAAACTCTCCCGTGGAGCCATGCAGACATTACACTTGTTATACAGGACTTATAACAGTTCATTTAGTGACCGTTCGACGTTACAATGGCACGGAAAAAAGTGACTTGACTTTTTTTCACACTTACCACAGTTGTGGCATCCCCCTAGTCCTGTGATCAACATTCAGACAGCTTGGCAGCTGATTCCTATTTATGACAGTTATAGTCTCCCATGACCCTGGGTCCCCTTTTTGTGACCTTCTGACAAGCAAAGTTAATGGGGAAGTCAGATTCACTTCACAGCCGTGTCACTAACTTAACAATTGCAGCGATTCCCTTAATAACTGTGGCAAGCAAGGTAGTAAAATGGAGCAAAATTCACTTAACAAGTGTCTCACTTAGCAACAGAAATTTGCGGGCTCAGTTGTGGTCATAAGTCGAGAACTACTTTTCAATTGGAGGAAAGGAGAACCTAACTAATGTATCCTTTTTGATTGTGTGGAGGTTGTGTTGCCCGACTGCGTACGTGCGAAGCGAACTTGGCCAAGGAGAACCTTTTACAGCTTCGCGCAAGCTGCGGTCAGCCGCTGAGAACCGAACTCGCCTGGCGGCGCCTTGGCACAACCGTCCCACGAGGGGAGATTCTCACAGCTACTTAAAAATACGTGTTATCTGCGCGCACGTGCTGCAAGCAGGATCCCGGCGACCCCGCGGAGCAGCCGCCGTCCTGCTCCGGATTCCCGCTCCCTTTTCCTCGGAAGCCACAACTGAACTCGGCGCCTTCGGACTCCAGGCAGCCGCAGCAGCAGCAGCAGCAGCAGCAACGCGCAAGGAACGGGGAGGGAATGGCGACAAGGGAAGCGAGACGGCGGAGCGCGCTCTCTCATCCCTGCAAGGCTACCTCCCGGGCGTAGGAAACCTCCTGATTGGCTGGAGGACCTGCCGGGCTCCCAATTAAAGTGCAGCCGCGGAGCTGCGAGGAGGATCGGGGAGAAGGAAGAGCTGCTCCCGTCGCCCGCCGCGGTGGCATCTTCTAGATCGGCAGCCGGAGGGCGGGTAACCAGATCCCCGGCGAGATGGGAAGCAGAATCACCTTCTTTGAGGTAGGTGTCTCGGCAAGGACGGGATGAACTGATAAATCACCCCCCCCCCAAACACACAAACACACTCCCGAATGGAGTGGGGAATATCCTCGGAGTGCCAGTGTGCCCTTCTCCGGATCCAACCATCTGGGTGGAAATCGGTGGCCAGATCTCGGGAGCAGGAAAGGAAACATGCAGGAAATCGCTCTTTCCAACCGCTTTTCCGTCTGCCCTGAAGCTAACCGGGACAACCACCGAGGGCTGCTCCCGCCATTCTTAAGCATAGGAAGCCTTTACTTTGCTTTACTTGTCTCTTCACGGTGGAATGGCACTTCCTAGTGTGACTGCTTCGGAGCACAGCCTTAAAACATCCTTAAAGTAGCAGGCTTCAATCTCTGATCCATCTCTTGCTCCCAGAGGGGTAGTTAAGGGCCACTTCCTCTAGATTAGAAGCACACAGAAGAGAGGCGCTTACACAAACAGTGCCTTCTAATGAAAGGGACACTTTTGCTATCCACTTTAGGTAGGCACATGTTTCTTGGACTTGAGGTCAAGTTTACCAGCAATTTGTGCATATCTGGAAATGTTTTTGCTATGCTGGGAAAAAAAAATCAGCGTGTCATGGTTCTTCTCAATTACTAGTCAATTGCACATACGTGGGAATTGATTTTGTTAAGGCAGGTTCTAAACAGGATGGGTTATTTTCTTCCACTTCCCCTAACTAAATTTTCAAGAACTTTTCACTGGAACAAGAAATGGAAATATTCAGTGATATAATATATATGTGTGTGTGTATCATAGTTTACTTTTTACATTTATGTTGGCTGACTTGTAATATATACTGCCTAACTAAAAACTGCCAATAGTTGAAATCTTTTATTTTACAGTAAATGGTTTCTGGATCTTTTCTTACCAACATTATACAAGTATATTGAAACTCACTTCTGAATTGCATTTAGTATTCCTGCAACACTTTAAGCTAACTAGAAACATCCTTTAGAAATAGAATACATCTGAAGCATAGTTCTGCTGTACTTCAGAATATTTAACGTTGTATTTAACTTTAACTATTTTCATCACTTAACACGTTTATTTTTATCTTCTTGAGAATTTAACTAGAGAAGTTGGAATGCTTGAAATATTCCAGAGCATTAACAACACCTTAAGGAGGGTTTTTCTGATTAGAAAAGTATAATTATTGCTATTTTTTGCTTGCAACTTTTGTAAGATGGCCAAACTGCCATTGTCCTGTGAACTTCCACTTTTTGGGATATGACTTTATAATGCAGGCTGTTGTTTTTTAAAGGAGTTTGTGTGAATGAAGATGGATAAATGTTTCAGATCACTTGGGGTAGATGGTCAGTGAAATGTTTCAGACACAGCAATTTTTTTTAGCTTGTGTGTTGTAAACAGTGTTTAAACTTAATAGACTGAAATGATTGACAGAGCTTCCCCTGAAGTACTTGGACTTCAGAGTTATCTAGGAAACCCAAGCCATCTATAACACAGGCCAGCAACGCAGAAATGAGGATGGAATTGATCAAAATGATTTTTTTCCTGCCTTTGTAAGCAGATAGATTATCAAAATTCCCCTTTCCCGGATCTGGGGAATTTTCAACTCCTTCCACATTATTCCAGTTACGTTACTTTTAAGAAGGTTGGCACTGAACATGCTAGCAGTGAAGGTTGTCGGAGAGGTGGAGGAAGGATCAAGTTACATTCTCCTCTCTAACCTCTTGGAAAGGAAGAAAGTAAGCTATCTATATATCCATGCACTATAGAATTGTATCTTCAGCTTGGTCAGTTTTGAATCAGAAGAATATTTTTATCTCCTTTTCTTATATTACACAACAGAAATTAATAGTTTTAAAACTTTGAATGCTAAAAAATAGTAGCTTATTCATTTTACCAACTCCAGGCCATGATTCAGATATAGCTGAGAAGAATTGATTATATATTTGTCCCAAAAATGGCCCATTACTGAAAATGATGCCTATAATAGATGTGTATATTTGGAGAGGTGTGTGAGAGAGGTAATATCTTCACAAAAAGTGCTCGTTGAATTGTAACTCAAACTGGAAATGGATCAGAATAACTTATACTGATCAAGAGACCTTTTACAGATAGTCTGCCACGATGTGCCTAGATGTTTTCTTGAACAGTATATTCAGCAGAGTGTGTACAATAATCCAGTTTTCCTCAGAAAAAGCTCGGATGAATGTATTCATGTAGCCACTCATCTCATTTTAATCTTGGCACATATTCGCTCAATTGATCTATTATGTAATTGATCCCATGCTGTTTTGTATTGGCTGAGATTAGAATCATGTTTTTGACAAATCCCAGATGTTTTAATTGTAATTATTTTAATCATCATTTAGATCAGTTTTCATGGCTTGAACCAGTGTCTTAGTTGAAGCTTGTGACTAAGCAGTATTTACAATCTCTGACTTGCAAAATTTAGGGAAAGGGACAGAGATTTTTATGAAGCATGAGTGGGATGAAAGTAATTTTGAATCTGTTGGTAAATATTTGGGTGAGTTTACAGTGCAACAGAAAGACATAATATCTCTGTTTATTGCAATGAATAAAGCTAGAAGTAATTAAGAATAGATTTTTTGGGGTAAAAAAGATTGTGAGCTTTACATCATTCATTTTGGAAGCTTGGAATATACAATTTTGCAGCTATGAAGATTTAGAAAATATGTCTTTTTTAATTAATCAGAGATTAGCAAAAGCATATTTACCTAGAACTAAGTATTGGAAGTCGGAGGCAAACATAAAAAATGAATTTCTTCTAGGCCACCAAGCATGATATATGGCTATGTTCTGATTTGGGTGGTCACACAATGAAGATAGAATCCAAAAGTAAGTTACTAAAAGTATTACAGTACTTACGTAAACATGAATTTATTATGTTTGGTAAATACAGGTAGCCCTCAACTTATGACCGCAACTGAGCCCAAAATTTATGTTTTGTTAAGTGATAAATTTGTTAAAGGAGTTTTGCCCCATTTTATGACTTTTTTGCCATATTTGTTAAGTGAATTACTGCTGTTGTAAAATTAGTAACACTGTTGTTAAGTGAATCTGCTTTCCTTATTGACTGCTTGTCAGAAGGTCGCAAAAGGGGATCATGTGACTCCAGGACGTCATAAATGTGAAAAAATGGTCATAAGTCACTTTTTTCAGTGCCATTGTAACTATGAACAGTCACTGAACGAACTCTTGTAAGTCAAGGACTACCTGTAGTGATGCCTTTCAAGACAAGACTACTTTGCTGTCCATGTGTAATATATGTCTTGCCCTCTAGAAGCAAATCAAGGTGCTGAGTACCCAATAGGTTGGCCAAGCTGGTTGGATGAGTGGCAAAAAATCTCGTCAATATGTGTCTAGCATTCAAAGTATAATGGCAATGTCAACAACACCTACCAGCTCTCAGAATCAACAGCCTGAAGGAGCCACCTGCTCATCTTATCAGCGTAAGGAAAATCTAGGACAGGGGTAGGCAACCTTGGCTCTTTTATGACTCGTGGACTTCAACTCCCAGAATTCCTGAGCCAGCCAGCCATGCTAGCTCAGGAATTCTGGGAGTTGAAGTCTACAAGTTATAAAAGAGCCGAGGTTGCCTACCCCTGACCTAGGAAATAGGTCATTCAGTGATTTATTCTCCACTCTTCCAAACAAACAAAAGTATTCAAATGGTTATATAAATACAGCATTCCTTTGAATTATGAATCATTCATGCTTGCACCCTTCCCCTTGCAACTAATATTAGCAGTCTTGTTTTCAATTTCTTTTTTTGCTGAGTTATTTGGAAAATCTTTTGTTGTCATTACTAGTTTAGACTCAGTAGAAGAATGGCAGTTTTAATAATGACAGCTTTGCTGAGTTGTGTAGCTTTGGGAATAAATAACGTATTTTGGTTTTTACAGGGGAGAAATAAAAATGCACTTTCCACAACTACAGCTTTTAAAATGAAGATGCAGAGAAATTTATATACTATGACCTGCTTTTAAAATATGATTATCTACCTGAAACTTACATACTTTCAGCTGGGTTTTCTACAGAGGACATGACATCAAAGTAAATCTGGAAAAAATATTTTTTTTGTCCCTTGAAACTAGTTTGTACACTGGGATGGTCAAGGGAGAGGAATCAAGAGGCAGTTAAAGACACCCATCAATCAGAGTTAGTTTTCAAAAACTCAGCCAGAATTAAGTCTCCCCTATAAGCCTTGTTGTTTTTCAATTATGGAAGGAGTTTGTGGATCTTAGTAGAGGCCACAATTGGCCACTCTGGGGTATGAGTTGAAGACAGATTTAAAAACTGAATCACATCAGAATGGCACATGTTTAGCCCAGTTCTCAAGTAGAATTATCTGGCTGAGCAGAATCTTTTAGGAAATAACGACCTGTCAAATGCTAGAAAGTTAGCAGGTCTCCTGCCATTTTGAAGTAGAAAACAGAAAAACCTAAATTGTGTGCTTGGCAACTGATTCATATTTATGACGGTCACAGTGTTCCAGGATCATGTGAAGTGACCAAAATCTGCTGCAACCGCCCAGCAGACAGGGGGAATAAAAACCAAACACCCCACCTCACCCCTGCTGCCAATCCTCAACAGAAATGCTCACAACAATGAAAACCTCAGACAGGAGGAAGAGCGCCGCCAGCTGGGCAGGCAGGTGTCTTGCTCGGCTGTGCCTTGGGGGCACTTTTTTCAAACAGTCATTAAGCGAATTGTTGTAAGTTGAGGACTACCTGTACTTCATCACTCCCCCCCCCCTTTTTTTTTTTGGTCATCAAGTTTTTGACACCTTGCTAGTCGACTGGTAGTACTCGGATATTCCCATATCCTACAAGTGGTACAATGGATGAAAAGGTTGAAATGCCCTGATGTAGAGCAATGTTATCAGAAAAAGGCTTGGATGTGTCCTCTTGTTCTGCCTTGGCAAACTTCCTGAAAGTCAGAGGGAGGCAGGCACAAGTATTTTGAAATAGTCTTAAGTTGACACAATTCCAAAGCTCTGTGGAAAGCACTTGAGTCTTAAAAGCATTTGGGGTAGTAATGGTTGTTGAAATGACCGTGCAAGCCTCTTAAAGCCTTGGCAGCATGGGAGCCATCTTATCTCCATTAGTTCAATCAGTGTTACTTCACAGCTAAGTAACTGACTGAGATTTCAGGATGGCCTTCTTCATATTCCATCTTTGATTGTTTATGTGGATCATTTGTAGATATAACATGACTTTCCTCACTTGGAGTACCTGTGTTTCACTTGGTACTTCAGAGCTAAGCTTTGAATTGTGCTTAATAACTGTACTAAAATAGTGCTCACCCCCTCTTGGAGGGGGGTGAGCCCAGTGTTGCCATGCTCACCCGCTGTCTCAATTTCCTTTTCAAGACTAGGGAACTTTTTTCTATTAGCATTTTTATTTCCTCTAGCTGTTTGTTGACCTCCAGTAGCTGATCAAATATAGATTGCACTTGTGTGGACAGGAAGGAGACAGTTTGGACAGAGCTGTGTTCAATTCTAATGAGTTCCCAGTTGAATCTGCTTCCTTGGTCTCAGATTCTGTTCCAGCTTCTTCTGCCTCTTTAGTTTATTACAGTTAAATCCTGATCAAAGGATAAGAGCTTATCTGTGTCCCAGTCAAATAAGATACACTTAGTCCTCAATTTACAACCACCATTGAGACCAGATCTTTTGTTGCTAAGTGATACAGCCGATCTTACAATCTTTTTTGCTAGAATTGTTAAATGAATCACACCATCGCTAAGCAACGTTGGCTTCCCCCATTGACTTTGTCTTTTGGAATAACCTAACCCCCCCGCCCCCGGAGGTCACAAATGGTGACCGTGGGACTCCTGGATGCTGCAACCATCATAAATACATGCCTGTTGCCAAGTATCCAAATTTTCATCATATGATTTGCAGAAACAATGCAATAGTTGTGAGTGCAAGGGCCAGTCATAAAAGTCACTTTTTTTTTAGCGCCCTCATAACTTTGAATGGTCTCTAAGGGAATGCTCTTAAGTTGAGGACTACCTGTGTGATGCTTCTCAACTGTTTTTAGAATTTAAGAAGCAAGGTAGTCTTGAAGGCATGTACGGTAAATCTTTTTGTTGTTCAGACAGAGCTGCTTTTTTCGGTTGCTTATCTTCTTCTTATGACTTAGTAACAAACTGTCTTACCTTCGTAGAAGATAGAGCTGTGGGAATGAAGAGCCGAGGTGGCGCAGCAGTTAGAGTGCAGTACTGCAGGCCACTTTAGCTGACTGTGTTCAGCAGGTCAGCGGTTCAAATCTCACCGGCTCAAGGTTGACTCAGCCTTCCATCCTTCCGGGGTAGGTAAAATGAGGACCCAGATTGTTGGGGGCAATGTAAATATATATATACATTGCATACTGGTGTACACCGCTTAGAGAGTGCTTGCACTTAAAGCGGTATATAAGTCTCATAAATAAATAAATAAATAAATAAATAAATAAATAAATAAATAAGATGAAGAAGTCCCACTGCATATAGCTGATTTGCCCATTTTCTCTGGAAGTGCCTAATATCACCCAAACCCTTTGAGCTCCAGAGACTTTCTGACTTTGTTTTATCCCTTCTCTTTCAGCTGGGCAACAGGAATAACTTGGCAATTGCAGCCCCTCAGATTTGGGAGGAATGTGCTGACCCATTTAAGCTGTAATGGGAGCATAGAAACATGAGGTTATAAACATAAAAGTGAAGAAGAAAATATAATAATCTCTTCTTCAATTCTCCTATGCCTGTTTCCTCCCCATCTCTGCCTTCCCTTCTGTGTTCTGCTGCCCCAGCTGATCTTTGCCATCTTCCCCCCCCCACCCCCACATTGCTGCCATCCTGGCTGTTTGCAAGACAGCTATTGGCCTTCAAAGGCTGTGAGAAGGACCAGGCTGAGTTCAAGTAGAAATGGTTGTGGCAAGGCAAGAGCAGGGTGAGATCCTCATCTAAAGTCAGCACCGTCCTGATCTAATGACTGCATCCAGGTGTCAGAATAATATTCTGATCTGTTTCCCGAGCTGGGATTTGCATAAGAATGACACAGGACTCACTGCTTGAAGAGGAAAAAAAATTATTTGAGAGCATAAAAGACAGCACTTGAAGACAGAGCCCAGGGCTCTGTTCTGGGCCCAGTGCTCTTCAACATCTTCATCAACGATCTGGACGAGGGGATAGATGGGGAACTCATCAAATTTGCAGACGACACCAAGTTGGCAGGAATAGCCAACACTCCAGAAGACAGGCTTAGGATACAGGAGGATCTGGACACTGGGCGCTATCTAACAAAATGGGCGCTATCTAACAAAATGAAATTCAATGGTGAAAAAAGTAAGATTCTATATTTAGGTGAGAAAAACCAAATGCACAGGTATAGTATAGGGGGTACCTTGTTCAATAGTAATAACTGTGAGAGGGATCTTGGAGTCCTAGTGGACAGTCATTTAAACATGAACCAGTAGTGTGCTGCAGCTGCCAAAAAAGCCAACACAGTACTAGGCTGCATTAACAGAGGGATAGAATCAAGATCACGTGAAGTATTACTACCATTTTACAATGCCTTGGTAAGGCCACACTTTGAATATTGCATCCAGTTTTGGTTACCATGATGTAAAAAAGATGTTGAGACTCTAGAAAGAGTACAGAGAAGAGCAACAAAGATGATTAGGAGACTGGAGGCTAAAACATATAAGGAACGGTTGCTGGAATTGGGTATGTCTAGTTTAACGAAGAGAAGGATGAGGGGGGACATGATAGCTATGGTCCAATATCTCAGGGGCTGCCACAAAGAAGAGGGAGTCAAACTATTTTCCAAAGCGCCTGAAGGCAGGACAAGAAGCAATGGGTGGAAACTAACCAAAGAGAGAAGCAACCTAGAACTAAAGAGAAACTTCCTGACAGTTAGAACAATTAACCAGTGGAACAACTTGTCTCCAGAAGCGGTGAATGCTCCAACACTGGAAGTTTTTAAGAAGAAACTGGACAGCCATTTGTCCAAAATGGTATAGGGTTTCCTCCCTGAGCAGGGGTTTGGACTAGATGATCTCCAAGGTCCCTTCCAACTTTATCATTATTATTGTTATTAAATAGACTACATTTGAATGTTTTGAGGTAGAGGGTATTTATAGAGAAAGTAGTTCTTGGTGTGAATGCATTTGAAGTGTTTATCTTTGGCAAATTCCTTCGGTGTGTGTCTCGACTTGTGTGTCTTCCTAAAAGCCCTCTTAAAGGATTTGTCTTGTTGGCTATTCTTTGAAAGGAATGCACTTTCAGCCTGACTGTCAATTATTTAGCTTGACAGTTAAACAATCTTTGCTACATGATTTCTTTTAGCTATTGACAGGTCAGGTTGTTGATTCAAGGAGTTTACAGGCAGTGCATGAATAAAATTATTCTTGAATCTAAAACAACTTCCGACACAGGATTACTGCAGCTGCCATTGCAAAGCGGTCGTCAGGGTTCTGATAGATGAAACCCATCAAAAGAACTTCAAGGCAAAATTCTTCCTTAAAGAACATTTTATTCGGGAAACAGTATCAGCACTACATAGCTGAACCCAAAACTAAATTCCCTTCCCCCAGATACAAAGTGACAAAGTACAATTCCCATCCTCAATAAACTGTCATAAATCACATTCCCCAATTAGTTAAAAGCGCGGGCTTCCTCCCCAGCTCCCCAGCCTGCCAAAATGTTATCAGCTTGTCCTTGGGTTCCCACAGCAGTGTTATCGTTACACCTAGCTGAGCTTTCATTCCAACCCCCCTCCCTGCTGCACCTGATTCCTAAAAGTAAGAAAAAGCATAGAAAAGGAGAAGAGAAAATGGCTGCATTTTCATCGGTTGTCAAAGCGGGAACATCCAATGTTAGCAGCGTTGACAGTGGTGCAGTCATGTGATGTTTTCCCTAATGACTGTTCCACTTGGCTGCAGCACATTCAGTCCCAATTAGGATTCTTAAAGTAGTCCTTAAGGGGACTACTTATGTTGCAAAGCAATAATCAGGTGGCTAAAAGGTAAGGTAAGGAGAGGTTACTCCCCAGTCCTAACTGAATCAAAAGAAAGCTGACTTACACAAACACTGGGCCAGAGGCATCCGTTCAATTTTGCATTTTTGCAATTCTTCCAAGCTGATGTGGAGGAATAATTTTCCTGTAAATGATGTAAAAAAAAAATCAATACTGTAGAGCATTCACTTAAAACAGCTAAGCACAACAGAATAGCACCGGGAAAACACTGTTGTAAGTAGAAGTGATAGTAAGCATAAACATCTAGAAACAAAGGGACTCAGGAGTGTTTCTGTAAGTCATCTTACGTTGTGTACATTCTTCAAAAGTGGTACTTCGCCAAACACGGGAGTATATAAACAGTGCTTCTCTGCAGATTAAAACAGATAATTTTTCCTCTCGGGCTCACACAGCTGCTTTGTAAGGGGCTGTTCTACAGCCCCTAGACACCTTTAAGCTGACAGACTTACAAGGCTTATTTTTATTATGCTATTTATATTCTATCAGTGACAATATATTCTCAGGGGACCATAGTTCATTGGTGGCACATGTATTATATTAGAAAAATACCATCCTATAAACAGTAGTCTGTGTTGACTGATTTATAGTGATAAGGCTGACTGTGATCTATTTATTTATTTATCTTATACCTTGCCTTTATTAATTGTACAATTAAGGTGGTGAACACATCCAGCACACCTTCCTGTTTCTGTTTTCCCTACAACAACCACTTGGTGAGGTGAGTTTGGCTGAGAGAGAGTGACTGACTCAACATTACCCAATTGGCTTTCATGGTTAAAGCAGGACTAGAATTCATGGTTTCCAGCTTTCTAACCTGATGCCTTAACCCAGAGGTCCCCGACCTTTTGGGCACCAGGGACCGGTTCCGTGGAGAAGAGTTTTTCCACAGACCAGAGAATGCGTGGTTTTGTGTGCTGCCTGCATCCCACGGATGGGGCTTTGCTTGTTTGTGCAAACTGGTTGCTGGCATGTTGCGGCCCAGTACCGGTCCATGGACCGGGGATTGGGGACCCCTGCCATAACCAAATCTTGTTCTGGTGGAGTTATCTTAATATGAATCCCTCCTTGTTTCCTTATGAGTACGTGTTCACAGACATACACATAGGCAATTAAAAATTGTGTTTACTTCATACTCTGTTTTTGTCAGACTTCAAGAACAACACATGTAATTATTTAAGAGTAGTTTCCTTTATTGTTCTTCACCTTTAGATAGAATCTTGCCAGACTAAAGCAACTATTTGCATAATTTCAGATATACTCTGTGAATTGCTAGGGAGGAATTGTTCTAATCTTCCTGTTGATCAAACTTTCCAAGCCCCGCTGCCTCTTTGCTCTCTAGAGAGCAGCCCCTCCCTCCTGGGAATCCAGTCTACATTCCACCCTGTTCTTTTGATATTTCAGAGTGAGATTCTGGCATATAAGGCGACCTGGCGTATAAGACGACCCCCGACTTCGGCGCCGAGTTGCATGCCTAGAAAGTCGTCTTATACGCCAGAAACTACCGTTATTTCTGGCATATAAGACGACTCGGCGTATAAGACGACCCCCGACTTCGGCGCCGATTTTAACGTTTGCGAAAGTCATCTTATACGCTGGAAAGTACAGTAAATAAAGCATTATTCACACTTGTATTTATCAGTGACATTAATTAAATAACCAATGCTAGGTTAATTACTGAGCCAAGATCAGAAAGAGTCTATCAAGCCCATGAAAACTATTCAGACTTCCGTATGGACAAGATATTGGAAACCTAAGTTTTCAGGAAACTAAGGTTACCAACATCAAGTCGTACCTTTACTTATCTTGTAATCTTAAACCAGTAAACATATTTTCAGCCATTGCATTATTCTGACTGTCTAGGCCAGGGGTCCCCAACCCCCAATCCCCAATCCGTGAACTTGCAGCAGGCCGTGGCATACCACAACCGGGCTGCGCAAACAAGTGAAACTCCATCCGCTGGATGCAGACCCCTCCGCAGAAAAATCTTTCTCCACAGAACCAGTCCCTGGTGCCCAAAAGATTGGGGGCCTCTGGTCTGGGCTATCTCAGAAGGTGATGGTAGATGGGGCACAATGATGCCATTATGCTGAAAATAGTCACTAAGGAACAATATTGCACAGAGGTGATGCAAATAAAACGTGGGTTATACAGCATTCTGAATTTGAAGACAAAAAGGTGCTCTGGAGTGTCAGGATGTAAAAGCAGCACCTGCTACTATCTCCAAATGCATCTTTTCTTGAAATTGTAGTGCAAACACAACTTCACCCTATCCTTTGATTGTGTTATGGCAGACCCATAGCCAAATAGAATGTACAGACAGATTTCAATTGCATCACATAAGGAGCTGTGCTGATTCTGTTCTATTTTCTTCTTGCGGTGACTTTGAAAATTGCATTTAATTTTTCTATAAATCAAAATGTATACTTGTACATGCAGAATCTGTCAGCTTATTAACTGTTGGACTGTGCTGCTGAACATACGCTAAATTATAATGTGATTTGTTTGGCTGGCATACCTAGAGACTACAATCTGAACCCGCTCCTGGTTCTTTTCCAGTCACAATTAGAGATGTCACTTCTAAGATATAAAGGTTTTTTAGGGCCTGGGACCACAGTATCTGTGATAACACATCATTCTGTACATTCCTACACATATCTTCAAGGTTATCCTCAAAGGACCCATTGAAGTTATTCTGTGTTGAAGTAAGGTCATGATAACCCAGAGGCAGATTTCTCAGTGGTAGCTTTTTCCAGTGATTTATTATTTTGGCTTTTTTGTACTAAGCAAATGATTTCTTATTCTCCGAGGCCTTTTAATAGATTAATATTTTAACATTTTATACATATATGTCTACTTCACCTTGGCTGAATTCAAAAAGGCTAAGGCAGATCATACCCGATTAATGGTTGGATAGGAGACCAAGAAGAAATTTCTGAGCTGAATGCTATATTTGAAAGTATAAAATAATTAACTCAGAAAAAGGAAACGGCAAATCACATTTGCAGTGTTGCCAAGAAAACTGTAGGGCAGTGGTTCTCAACCTTTTTAATGCCGCGACCCCCAACCGGTCGTAAGTTGAGGACTACCCAACCGGTCGTAAGTTGAGGACTACCCAATCGGTTGTAAGTCGAGGACTTTCCCTGCCCGGGAGCGCCGCACATGTGAGGTGCCGCCCCCTGCGCCGGCCGAGGCGTAGCTGGCAAGCGGCAGAGACGGAGCAGGCTGACCACCGGCTGGGCCACCAGCTGGCCCAGCCCAAGAAAGGTAAGGCACCTGCCGGGCCCCACGCATGCCAGCAACCCTCCCTGCGCCCGCTGGCCTTCCACCTCCCACCCCTGGCCTTACATTTTTAGTAGTTGCTCAGCAGGGAGGGGTGGAAACTTCCAGACAGCTCGCCTTCGCTGCAGACAACTTGCAGCACCGTTTGCAGAATGGGACTTTTGGCGGGCTCAGCAGGGCAGAGACAGCCTGGACAATTCCTATTGGCTTTTGAAAGCCAATAGAATTAGACTCTATTCAAGAGAGTCTATTCTATTGGCTTTCAAAAGCCAATAGAATAAAAGGGAGTAGCACAGCTAAGGAAAAGGGGGAAAAAATGGCGGACTGCATTGTTTGGCGACCCCCGTGAAATGGTTGTTCGACCCCAAATGGGGTCCCGACCCACAGGCTGAAAACCGTTGCTGTAGGGATAAGTTTGTGTAGTTACCAAAAGTAAAGCTTGATTCTTGTATGGAGTGTTGAATAGATTATTAACTAATCTACTTGTGGTTATATTTTCATATATTCAGTTTTTAAATGCTGTTTTAGTTCGTAGATTTTTTTAAAAAAAATACAGTGTAATTTTACTGTGAAATAAGTTGCCAGGAGGAAGCCCAGTTTGTTTTTAAACAGCATACATTTTTAGAATAAGAGTGAATAAATATATTGTATGCAGCAATTAATTGTAGCTTGTAAAATGATTTATGGCTAACTTTGAGTCGTGAACCCAGCTAAGTGTGGTTCATTAAAAAAATGTCTAGGTATGACTTCTTTGATACTTGAGCTCAACTGTCTCTTGTTTTTGTAAACCACAGCAATTAAGAGCATGAGATCATTTGAAATGGTTTTTATCTGCTTCTTTTGCTAGGTGGAAATTCTTGACTGGAAGACAAAACAGCAGCTCTGCTTCCTAGAAAAGGTTGGTAACCGTAATGTTATACATCACTTTTTAAATAATCACATTTACAGATAACTTTTTAAGTGCTTGGAGATTTGTATAATAACTTCATACTGTAACTGGGTGTTTCCTTAATTATATCCTTTGCTTCCATCGGTTCAGTCCCCCCCCCCCCGAAATAATATCTGCTTGCTTCCTGATAGAAAGTTTTCTGTTATATAGGTTGAGCCACACACTACAATAAGTGACATCCAAGCGATGCTCCACAAGATATGTGAGTATCTACATTTCAAAAGGTGACTTTAAAGGTGGTATCAGTGCTTAACTAAATTATACATAATTGTAAGGAGCATACAGGAACTCCTAAATGCCATAAGCTTTCTCAAAGCTGAGTTAATAATTCTACTAACTGCTGAAAGTTTTAGCCAGCCTTTTTCACTGTGATGTTCTTCAGATGTGTTACATGTCTTTAGCTTGCCCTTCCCATTGCCTCCTAGAGGTAGATACATGGTTTGTCCTATGGCAGGGGTAGGCAACCTTGGCTCTTTTATGACTCGTGGACTTCAACTCCTAGAATTCCTGAGCTAGAATGGCTCAGGTTGGAAACCTCTCCCTTTCCCCTCAGTGTGGCTGGCTCAGGAATTCTGGGAATTGAAGTCCACGAGTCATAAAAGAGCCAAGGTTGCCTACCCCTGTCCTATGGCTTGAGGCGGACTGGGACAACTCGCTGCAGTCTCTCACCACCGCCAACTTGCTACGGCCAACTTGCTATGACCAACTCATCATGGCCAGCTTACCGTGGACAACTTGCTGCGGAAACAATTTAACAATTCAATTTAATTATTTAAAATAAATAAAAACTATTTTAATTTTTGTCATTTCCATTTCACATTGTCCCTCTTTTTGCATCCTTTCTTTAATGGTTTCATTCCACCATTTCTTTGATATTAGTGTAACTCTTGTCTCGCAGTGAGTTGTCCTGTAGCGAATTGGCTGTGAGTTGGCCATGGCAGATTGTCATAGACCCAGCTAGAGGGCATCAAATTGGTGAAGACTGGCTGAGGGTTTTCTGGTTGAGTTAGCAGTGCAGATCTTACAAAACCTATTTGCTGAAGCAGAAGGAAGTTGCCAAGAAAAATTCCAAAAATTTGTTTGTTTGGGAATTTATATATTTATTTTATTTTTTAAAATTTGTTTGCCACTATCTTGCTGCGAAGCGACTCTGGGAGGCTTTCAACATTAAGCATCTATGTTTACCGTTTACATATTTTATATTTATACGGGCTTTTATTTAGAAATGTATTCATACAGTATATGATTACCATTTATATTAGATTGCCAGAAATGTTGTGTAACAATTTGGAAATCAATCCCATCAAACCCAAATAGTAGAAAGAATGAGTAAAGAAGTGATTTTGCAAGAATAAAGAGTCTTTAGAATTTGTTGAGATTAAGTTGGAAAGTGAGAGGGCTAAACAACAGGAAAGTCGTGTTTTTAATTGTGAATTTCTATTTTTTCCCTGTAGATCCTCAGTGGTATCCAGCAAGACAATCTATAAGGCTTGATCCTAGTAAGTATTAAGAGTGTGCGTGTGTGTGTGTGTGTGTGTGTGTGTGAGTGAGAGAGAGAGAGAGAGATTAAACATTGCAGCTTTCTCTAAATCAAAGCAGTTCATTCAGATTACAATGTTAAAATCCTTTCAAAAATTAGTTCTTTGCTAACATATCTAAATCACTGCAGAAACATATTTAATTAGCATTTTAAATTCTGTAAAGTGAGATCTAGACTACTGTAGCCATGGATAGAACTGAGACTGTTTAAGAGGGAGAAAGACTCAAAATGAGAATTCTTTCCCCCTGGTTGATGTTCTTCTCTGAGGAGGCTACTCAGCAAAGATCCAAGGCCATCTTCTTGTGAAGATGGTCCAATTATTGAGACAGAGTTCTGATAGAAAATCTCATGTATAACACTTTTTGCTGTGATTTCTTTTTAACACCCTGGTTTCCCAAAGACTAGACTGTGAGCTCAGGTTTTGCATACAGAATGTTGCCAATATAGCTCAACGTAAGAGATTTCTGATAGCAAACCTGAGAAACATCAGCAAGGAATGAAGAAGGGGAGAACTGATTACCTGGGACCATAATCTGTTTCAGTTTTCTGTATACAGGTAGTCCTCGACTTATAATAGTTCATTTAGTGACTGTTTGAAGTTACAGTGGCACTGAAGCAAGTGATTTATGACTATTTATCACACGATCATTGCAGCATCCTCATGGTGAAGTGAATTTGTCTGAAATGGTATAAGGTTTCCTGCCTGAGCAGGGACTTGGACTAGAAGACCAAGACCCCAGCTCTATTATTATTATTGTTATTGAAACCGTTAGCAGACTGATGATTATATGATCAAATTCAGACGTTTGGCAACTGACTCATATTTATGAAGTTGCAGTGTCCCGGGGTCATGTGATCACTTTTTGTAAACTTTTGACTAGTGAAGTCTATGGGGAAGCCAGATTCACTTAACAACTGTGTTGCTAAATTAACAATTGCAGTGATTCAGTTAACAGCTATGGCGAGAAAGGTTGTAAAATGGGGCAAAACTCACTCAACAAGTATTTCACTTATCAACAGAAACTTTGGGCTCAATTGTGGTCGTAAGTTGAGGACTATCTGTATTGACAATGACATGTAGGTTTATTTGACATCTTTTCCCTTCCCATGTCTTCAGATGCTTCATTTCTTTTCCTTCAAATGTTCTTAAATGGAAAAAAAAAAAAGGTTCTGAGGCCAGTCAAGAGTCCTTGAGGTAAATAGGAAAGAAAAGCTGTAGAAAACGCAAGCTCAGATGAGGAATTGTGTATTTCCACTTCTCTTCTCACAATAAATATTACAACTTCTTCTCATCCTCTCAGAAGGAAAATCCCTGAAGAATGAGGAAATCCTGCAACTGCTGCCTTTTGGCACCACTGCTACTCTCTATTTTAAAGATTTAGGGCCGCAAATTGGATGGACCATGGTGAGACTCTAAGCTTTGATATGTTTTAATTAATTGCTGTTTTGCCTCAGTAATATTTTGCATTATGATGTTATTTAAGTTTTTCTGCAATGAAAAATGGGAGAGAACACCACCCCCCCGCTGGCCTTTTTGTTTTCTTTTCTAAACTCAAGAGTTGCTGGATGCAAAGAGGAAAATATAATTACCCAAAAAAACTTGGCAAGCAAGTCCATAGCAACGCAGTACTGGTTGCTTGGCAACTAGACAAAACCCAGCTTGTGTAATGTCTATATTAGGGGATGCAAGAAGAAAATAGGGAGAGAATGTAGCCCTCCAAAATTAGGGCAGGAAGGAAACAGCCATTTGATCCAATCATGTGGAATAGTGCCAACTTTGGTAGAACAGAATCCATTCTTCCAACTTTTCATCTTCGGCCTGTTTTTTGAGCTTCAGTCCCAGGAGAATCTGGCCAGGTAAAGTGCTTCTTTGCACAAAGATGCAGTGACATGCCTCTTTTGTGAATTGGCTTTTTGCCTGTCACATCTGCTAAAAGAACAGAACCAACATCTGATAGGGGAAAGGAGATTTTTAAAAAGAAAACACTCAAGTGAGAACTGTTAAGGTGAAGCCAGAATTTGTGGGCACAGCAGCTTGTGTTATAATCCAGACTCCCCCCTCCCTGTGTTTTATTTATTAGATTTTTACCCTGCCTTTATTACTTTATAAGTAACTCAACATACCTAATGCTCCTTCCTCCTCCTATTTGCCCCATATAACAACAGCCCTGTGAGGTGGGTTGAGGCTGAGAGTGATTGGCTCAAGGTCACCTAGCTGGCTTTCAAGCCTGAGGCAGAACTTGATCTCACAGTTTCCTGTTTTCTAGACCAGCATTGATACATTGCTGTCCAGTCTTTCCCAGCCTGGCAATTTTCAGACGTGTTACGCAGTCCAACATGTTGCCAAGTTGGCGGCTGCTTGCATATGTTGTGAGATAAAATGGGAAATTGATAGCAAAACAACAATTCGCTGTGTATCTGGAATCAGTGCACAAAATACAATTCGGTTGATTTAAACTGGTTTATTTTGAGTTATGCTGCTTACAATGATCAACTGCAAGAGGTATTTTAATAACCTATGTTATGCACTTGAGCCAATGCATCAGTCATTAACAGATAAATAGAAGGAACATTAATATTTCATTTGTTTATCCCACGTTTATTTCCCTTCTCCCATAGGAACTCATTTGAACTGATCAGGAGCCTCATTCTGAATTATGGGTTTAGTCTTCGGTCTTGACACTTACAGTAGAATCCAAACATCTAACCAGGCTGTGTTCCTTATTAAGCACTATTGTTTTCAATTGTGCTAAACAAGGCAAAAACCATCTCAGATTGCAAAATACCACTGCAGGGTTTATAACGTTTCAAAGCTAAAATATAAGCACCAACAATTCTTCGACTATGAAGACAGTTGTGTAAAATAGAAAAAAAGAAAACCTCAGGGGAAATAAGCAGAATACTTTCTAGAGCAGTGTTTCCTCAATCTTGGTGATTTTAAGATATATGGACTTCCGAACTCCCAGAATTTGACAGCCAGCAAGTTAAAATGTTGGTTGGCAGTGTTGGATATAGCAAGTGGTCATTCAGTATCCATTCTGATTGGGAGGACTGCATGCAATGTTTTTGTTGTTTCCATGCAACCAAAGATAATCTTCTAATAAGTGTCTCTCTCTTTTGCAGGTATTTTTGATAGAATATACGGGCCCATTGTTCATCTATTTTGTGTTTTATCTCCGCATGCCTTTTATCTATGGCCAGGATGACAGATTTACTTCAGGCCGACATCCAGTAGTTAAGTGAGTCTCACTTCTAAACTGGAGGCGTTTATTTTGGGGCATCACAGCTTTATTCCGAATGTCTTGCCCAATTTGTTTTTTTTAGTTTTCTGAAACGCTTTTATCTTGCTGTTTCTAGCTTGGCATGTATCTGCCATTCTTTCCACTACATCAAAAGGTTGATTGAAACAATATTTGTTCATCGGTTCTCCCATGGGACTATGCCACTGAGGAATATTGTTAAGGTAAATTGTCACAAAATCTACTTGCAGCCCTTGAATGCGACCTAATCTGGCCACTCCCTATAGGAGCCCAGTTTGTGATACAACTTTGGGCCATAATGATGCTCTTCAAAATGAGGAACTGTTCTCTATTAGCATGAACATCTGCTACTGAAATCTGCCATTCTAAATGATTGCTGCAAAACATGGGACTGCAATATCTAATCTTTTTTCTTCTAGCCAAGTGGGAAGATGCTCCTTGAGAGTGGCTTTCCTCCTAGGTCATTGATGGCGAACCTTTTAGAGACCAAGTACTCAAACCACAACCCAAAACCCACTTATTTATCGCAAAGTTCCAGAGCTGCATCAGCATTGTGGTGCCCTCGGGGGGGGGGGGCTGGGGGCGAGGCCCATTGGGTGGGCATGGCTGCAGTTGGCATGGCAGACTGGGTGGGCGTGGCTGGGGTAGGCATGGCCACCTCAATGTTGCTCATGGGGGCGACACCTGCGGGGGCCGGACAGGGTTGGGGGAGATCCAAGGGATCTCTGGCGGGTGGGGCGGTGGGCAGGAGGCCCCAGCATAGATGGGGGAGGTACACAATCCTAGCTGGGACTGGGGGACCATGGCGCTGATGGGAATCCGGCTTTCCCTGCTCAGGGTGGCCTTTGGCTTGCTGGGTGTGGGCGTGCTCTACCACCTCTACTTGAGCTTGCTAGCTGGCTGCTTCGCCTCCTTTGTGCTGGTGGGGCTGCCACTCCGGGCGGCGGTGGCGACCTAATGGACCTGCGCAAGCCGCTAGCAGCGGCAGCGCATGTGCCCACAGAGAGGGCTCTGAGTGCCGCCTCTGGCACGCGTGCCATAGGTTCGCCACCACTGTCCTAGGTCCTAGGACATGCTCTCCTGATTAAGACTATGGAGTCAGTGGGTTTATTAGAATTATAGGGGCTGTACTTGACATTGGCCTGCAGCTAACTTGACAATAGCAAGATATATTTTACAGATTTTTTTTTAATGTAGTCCTACAGTAGACTACAGCTCCATCTGCAAAACCGAAGAGAATTTCTGCTTCATTAAAGTGTTGCAAACTTACAACTATCCTTTTGTAGGAAAATTTAGAACTTGGGGCTATTTGCAAAATGTAACTTGATGCGCCTTTTTCTGGGACTGAACCATTCCAAATGCTTGTGGGGATTGATCTGAATCCTTTGCCATGTTAAAAATTCTTGAAGGAGGAAATAAAGTAGTAGATGGAAAATGAGGCTAAAATCCTTCTCTGTGGCGCTCTCTCTCTCTCTCTCTCTGTGTGTGTGTGTGTGTGTGTGTCTGTGTGTGTCTCTGTGTGTGTTATTTTAAGGAGCAGAATGATAAATCACATGATCTGTCTCAGTTCTGAGTTACCTGAGCCAAAATAGGTATTTCTGAACTTATAATTTGATCCTTAAATTAAGGGCGCTTCTAGAGGTATTGAATGATTTAAGAACAATGTAGCTGATAAATAGTTATTTTTTATAATGGTGGAATGTGATTTTTGTATTATTTTGTTTTTGCATTTTACATTTTATATGTAGAACATTAATTAGATCTGTATCTCTTATTTCCTTCTGGGATTCAGGAGAGAATACAGAATAGACCTGTAATTATTCTCATAACATCACATTGAGGATTGACTCAAATCTGGGTTTTGTTCCAAAATCTTAAGCCACTCTACCACACTGATATAAACATTGCATTTTAAGAAAGTATAATAGAGTACTTACGATTATTGTCATCCATGTGGATTTTGGGCTTCTCTTATTTTTGTTTTTCTATCTTTTGCTTTGGTGGGAGGTGCACAGAAAATAATAGCGTAGTGACTGTCTCTCATATATAAAATATATCCAGATCACATTGTAAATAGTTGCAAATTTTCATTTAGTTTTGTATATAGAATTCTTGGGATGGGGATACAGTTCCAGATTAAAAATCTATGACCCTAGCAAAGATCTAATCATTTTTTAGGGCTTTAAGTGCTCTTAGCAGGCAGTTGTTCTCATTAAGATTTTTATTTCATGATGCTGCATCTGAAGAATAAACTATTCCATGGCAGCTGCCCAGTTCTTTCATTACTTCTTTCAATCTCAGCTGAAACAAAGACCACTTAATTATAGAAGCTGTTACTATTTGACCTGGATTGTGTTCCTGAGATAAAATGTGCTTTGCTTGAATCTGGTCGCTTGCATTAATTAGAGCATTTGCTGCTGTGTTTTGTTCAATGCAGAGACAGTTTTTAACACACGTTTCTCTGCCATTGGAAAACATCGGGATGAATGAGGACAAACGTAGCTATTCTCCAGGGATGGCCTTCTTCTGACGGTTCAGATTATTGTCTCGGAGCACATATGCAAGAAAATGCCCTTTTAATTTCTGCCCAATTAACACTGTTAAAGAAATTCTGAACTCTGTGTATGTGTGTGTGTGGTCTGTAATTATGCCGTATTTACAGGCAACATTCTTTGCAGGACCACCTTTTCCCAGATCCTTCTATCGTAGCCCATTAGAGCCAGCAGGAGAGGCATAGCTGTGGGTCCTATCAGTCATGTCAGCTTGTGAGCTTGTGAGACCCAGGCTTGTTTTTTATTGCCCTTTGGAACACCATTTCCCCATAAGATTAGGTTGGCCCTGAACCTTCAGTCTTTTTGAAAAGCTTTCAAGACATGGATCTGTTCCAAAACATGGATTGTTAGAGCCCGTAAGGTAATGGTTATCTGCCTAGATTGGTTTAGCTTCTTAGCTGTTGTCTGCTTTATATTGCATTGTTTGTATTCTTTAAATGCTCTACTGCAAAGTCACTATTGTATATACATCGAAGAAAATAAATAAGTAAGGACCTTTATTTTTTTTATAAACAACTCAAGGCAGCTAACATATCCAAGCAAGTACGTTAAGGATGCATTTGGCTACAGTTCCATTCAGCTCCAATCAACAAGCAAATTGTCTGCTGGCTCAGGATGTGAGGTCTGTAATCAAACTTCTGGATCAGCATTTCTCAACCCTGCTGGCTGGGGTATTCTGGGAGTTGAAGTCCACCCATCTTAAAGTTGTCTGGGTTGAGAAACCCTTATCTAGACAACAGTTTGGGGAAGACTGAAACAACAATAAGAAGACAGATGGAATGATTTAAGATAAGGATGGTTTGAAAGCACTGTCACTACATGTGATGGAAGAAAGTATTTTCTGTTACTGAATAGAGCAGAATCAGGAATTGCTGTCATACAAAGTTAGTGCAGTTGAACTTAAAAGTGGGAAAATGGCTGTGTATGGCATTGGTTGGTTAAAAGTGTTGTTATAAATATGCTATACCCATTTTCAACTTCTGATATGAAGAGGTGAGGAAAATAAACCAGTTTCTTTCTAAAATGTGAAGAGGCAAAAATCTTTCAGATATAATCATTTTCACAGTAAATTCCACATTTTGATTGACTGTAGGATTTGCCAAATAGCTTCTTAATAGGGTTTTTATTATGTTAGAAATCAGCAGTTTTGAGCCAGTGGGGCTCAAAACGAAAGCTAAAAGAGAGACTGTGTTTGTGGTGTACAAAGTTAATACACACTTTGGTTTCCCACTTTTTCATTTTCCAATGGCTCCTTCTTTCTTTATTCACTGCAGGAGGGAAGATTTCCCGCAAATATAACTTTTTTTTCTAGATTGTGTACCAGGTTTATTTTCCTTTGAGATCACTGAGGTTCTCTAGTTGGTTGTATAAAAGACTACATGTGCTAGATGAACTGTACTATAAGAGGCAGTCATTTTAGATTTTAGATTTTTGTTTTATTGGAAGAAGAGGCAGTGTTATAAAAATGGGATATGAGGTCACTAAGTTGTTTTGGCTTGCGTAGGATTATGTGTTGGCAGCTTTTAATCAGCTGCACTCTAACATATTCATTTCTCGGCACAATTATGATGCTGAGCTTTTAAGCTCTTTACAGTTGGAGTATTGGTATTTAGATTGCCTTATTGGTATTTAAATTATCTGCTCTTCATTTCACTCATGCATTCCACTTTCAAGGCCCTGTCTTGTGGCCCCTGAACTATTGAACTTAAATTCTTTCCCAGCTGCTTCTCAAAGAGGTAGATGGAGCAGAGGACCTTCCCTCAGCTACATCTCTAGATACCAAGAAAATTTAGAACAACTCAGAATTTGATTTAAGCTTATCCTGTTTCACAGAAGGATTTTGTTTGTTAACATAAACTCACAGATCCCTTTATACGCCGCTAGTTAAATTGCTATCAAATCTGTACTACAAAAGTAAACACTCTCAAACAAGTTTTAGCTTTCATCCAGCCATAGATGTCCATAGCGCCTATTGCTATGTTTTAAATAAAAAGGACAAAATTTGTGTTCCATCATAAGCTCTTCTTCTGGACATTTATGTGATGTCACTATATATATATATATATATATATATATATATATATATATATATATATATATATATAGTGACATACATACATACATACATACATACATACATACATACATACATACATACATACACAAAAGGGATGGGGCTTACAATCCAATGCTGTTTTTATAACCCTGTTGTCTTAGTGCAGGGTTCTTCAAACTTGGCCCTTTTATGACTTGTGGACTTCAATTCCCAGAATTCCTCAGCCAGGCATGCTGGCTGAGGAATTCTGGGAGCTGAAGTCCACAAGTCATAAAAGGGCCAGGTTTGAACCCTGTCTTAGTAAAATGTTAATACTAGAAGTTCTTGATGCCTGAATTTATCAGTGCAGCTGTTATGTATAAATAACATTAGGACAGGTTATTTTTGTCTGAAATAGATTGTAAGAAATAGTATTAATTTGCTTGTGGAATTTAAAGTCTATAATTACGCTGAATAAAATTGCCCTACTTGCCATCATAGATTTGAGAAGTTTGTGCCTCTAAAATATTCTGTATTAAAAAATTATCAAACGGGGGGGGTCATATTTAGTGAGCTCACTGCCAGAATATCTATAAATACTGTATGTATATCACAGCAAGATCTATATTTTTTTAAAATGCTACTATGAATGTGAGATAAGTGTTTTTAAACATTTAAATAGCATTTACTGTTTAAAAATATCTTTTGTATGTAGTCATATAAACTAATTTTTGGTAGCATTAATACTGTAAATTGTTAGGAAATAATAAACTGACATTTTTGTAGACTAAAAATCATAGGGAAAGCATAATTTGTTTCTTTGCACTTCATTTACAGATATTTATTTCTTTGGTTCTGAGGAACAAAATAATGAGAAAGTTCTGTATCATATTTGAATCACTTAACTGGAAAAAAAAGTCAAGTTGGGGATACTGCTATAATGGAGGAAATAATTTCTCTGCATTTTGTTAATATAACTTGAGAACTAATTCTTCTTTGAATATGTAATTCCTGCTCACATTCTGCTTATATACATTAGGATTAGATAAAGAATTTGAACTGAGAACATTGTGCCCACATGGGTGCACACATTGTATATTTTCTGTAAATCTCTTTAATGTAAAACATTAACAAAAATATAAATGACTTGTTTTACAGAATTGTTTCTATTACTGGGGATTTGCTGCCTGGCTTGCTTTTTATATCAATCACCCTCTTTACACACCACCATGTAAGTAGCAAAAAAAGTAAAAATAATTTGAATGTTTCATTCAGCTGAAACTTCATAAATATTCTCTTCTGCAGATTATGGACAAAAACAAGTCAATTTTGCTCTGATCATGTTCCTGGTAAGTGTATTGCAAATTAAAAATAATATAGTAAGAAACATTTGTAATTGTTATTGTCACATTGAGAAAATATGATCCTGCCATAAAATTGGCATATATGATGAATCCAAAATCTTGCCAGTAACAGACCAGTAGTGAGCCAGTTTGGTATAGGGATAAAGACACCAGGCTATAATCCAGAAGACTGTGAGTTCTAGTCCTGCCTTAGGCCCAAAACCAGTTTGGTGACCATGGGCCATTCACTCTCTCTCAGCCCTAGGAAGAAGATAAGGCCACTTCCAAATCTTGCCTAGAAAACTGCAATTTTCACCAGCACTCAACACTCTCTCAGAATCATCCAACAACAAAATAGCAGACCAAGAATTGAAGGCCAAAGACATTCTCATTACTCTGTTTTTTTTCTTCTTCAATTTCATTCCCATTGCAGCTAATGACAGAAAGTATATTTAAGGCAGTTTTAAAGCAGATGCACATTTCCTGCATATTAGATGTCATGGAGATAAGACACTCTCTAGCTGCTATTGCTTTTTGGTGCTTTCCAACATTTTTTCCCCCAAAAGGTGGTTAAAGGCATTAGGAGAGAAAATGGAAGTAGTAGTTTATTTATTTTTAGAATTTATATCTATTTATCTGCATTCTCTTCATATTTTTACATTTTGCAATAGTTAAAGGAACAGATATTTGAAGTTTGTCTCTGTACATCACATATGAGATTGAGTGCCATCCTGGAAAATATGTTGCAATCTTCAAATCAATTAAGAGAGTGTATTGTGAGTCAATATGTTTGGAATTAGAAGCTTGTCTTGATAGAGGGCCAGTAGAGAGAAAAAGGGTGGAAAGAGAGGGGCAAGGTAAAATAGATGGAAATAAAAGAAGAACATTCTTAATAAAACATGTTATTCACCACTATTGCAAACATGGTAGTATTTTTTTTTAATTGAAAATTTTTAAATTTTTACAAAAACAAATCCCCTTCCCGTACCCCCTCCAACCCTACCTCACCCCCCTCCTCCCCAACCTCCCAAGCCCTCCCCTGAACTTCCCAGAGCTAAGTACAGGCTTAATTAAGAAAAAAACTTAAAACACTTTTAAAACCTAAACAAATTTAAATACAATCATCATTCTATATAAACTCCCTCCAAAAACGCAAATTTAAACATTACTTTCTTTGAATATCTATGCCTATAATATAAAATCTAATTTCTCCCTCTTTCTTTATCCTAATACAAAAAAATAAACATATAAACCTTTGTTATACCATTAAAACTAAATACTCTTAGAAAACTTAAAATAAATACATATTTCCTTCAATCTTCATAATCTTCTCACCTATCCAAAAAAAAAAAAAAAAACTTAAAAATCCTAAACAAATCTAAGCAAATTATTTTCTCTTAAAAATATTAATAATAATATTTAAAAACTTAAAACACTTTTAAATCCTAAACAAGTCTAAATACAATCATCATTCTATATAGACTTCCTCCAAAAACACAGATTTAAACATTACTTTCTTTCCTAAACAAATCTAGACATTTAATTAAACAAATTATTTTCTCTTAGAAATATTAATAATAATATTTAAAAACCAAATTTAAGCATTACTTGAAACTTAAACAAGTTATACTCCCTTCGAAACACAAATTTATTAGAATCCCCTCACTGAAATAAACAAATTATAATCCCTTCAAAACACAAGTTTAAACAATATTATCATTAAAGGTTTAAAACTTAAAGCTGAAATATATTATTATCCCAAAACACATGTTTAGACATTACATAAGACATTTTCCAAAAACGATATAAGTTTTACTTCTCCGACAATCTCAATAGTAAACTTCTTGTCTAAAGTTCTCATTCAATGTCCATAATTTTCCAATAACCAGTTACATCCACTATAAACACAAACTTCTTATCTAAAATTTTCATTCAATATCCATAATCTTCTGTCTGATAGCCAGTTGCATCTACTATAAGCACAATCCATATCAGTCTCTCTTGCCCGCAAGCATCGAAAAGAATGCGTGGAATTCTGCCCTTGAAGATCGCTCCAAAGAGTTTGTAAGTCCTGGTTGACCCCCAAGCTCAGGAATCAGTACCTGTGAAACTTCCTCAACCTCCTTCTTCTGTTGGTCTTTCTCTTTACATTTATATGTTACTTTTTCTTTACATTTATATGTTGCACAAGTCTCAAGGACCGATACCTGTAAAACTTCCTCAGTGAGTTCCTCCTTGTGTTGATCTTCACAATTATAAGTTGTACAAGTTATCCTCTGCCCGTTCCTCTCTTGTCGATGCCCCTCAAGCTGAAATTTCCCAATTTCCATTTCTGAAGATTGCTCCAAAGACTTTGTAGGTCTAACTTCCGAAGCCAATACAGGTAAGGATTCCTTAAATTCCTCCTTGTATTGATCTTTACAATTGTAAGTTATACAAGTTATCCTCTGCCCGTTCCTCTCTTGTTGATACCCCTCAAACTGAGATTTCCCAATTTCCATTTCAGGCAGCAATTCCACCCTTGAAGATTGCTCCAAAGACTTTGTAGGTCCAACATCTCCCAGAGATTCAGAGACCACTGAATATGAAACTTCCTTAACCTTCTTCTGTTGCTGCTTTTCTTTGGAATTATGTGCTACACAAGTTGTCTTCTGCTCCTCAATCTGGACTTGTTGAGACCTAATAGATGGCGATGCACATACCCCCAGGACCGAAGTATAAAAATCTTTTGCTTGAGAAACAGTATTAAGTCTATGACATGTCCCCAGGTAGTTCACCACCATTCCAGTCGGAACATCCCATCTGAATAGAATTTTTCTCTTTTTAAGTTCATTTGCTAGAAAAGCAAACTCCTTTCTTCTTCTTAAAATTTTAGATGGGATCTCCTTAAAAATTATGACATCTTGTGAAGCAATTTGAAATCTCTTCTTATAATAGGCTTGCACAATTTCATTGCGTAAAGATCTTTTACCAAAGTAAATTACCACATCTCTTGGCAGATTCTTCTGTGCTGCCACCACAGAGTTAACCCTAAATAATTTTTCAATTTCACTAAGTATTCCCTCTTTTTCTTTATTCAAAATCAATGCAAAGTCCTTTGCAACCATCTCTTTCAAATCTCCTTGCAAAGACTCTTCCAGGCCTCTGATTCTTAAGGCATATTCCATTTGTCCATATTGAAGCATAAGAATCTCATTTTCCATTTCTTTTTCCATACTTTCAATTTTCCCCTCCATTATGTCCACTTTTTCAGCTACCTCTTCCACATGGGAGTTCACCTTTTCAAGAACAGAAGCAACTCCTTCTAAAGCCAAAACAAAATCTTGTCTCAAGATCTTATTATTTTCCTCTAAAATCTTTTTCATTTCTGCCCTAATTTGAATTATAACATCTCCCATCATGTTTTGCAAATCCTTCATAGTTATTAGCTGACCCCCAGAAGAGGGTGAAACTGTTGATTTAGAAGCTGTAGAAATCCCTGGACGCTTTGGAGCCATCTTAAAGAAAAACCTTTAACCCTTCTTAAAAAATTATAAAAATTCCTTCAAAAATCATAACTCCCTCCAAAGAAGGTCATTATAATAAAAAGAAAAAAGGGGGAAAAAAAAGGAAGAGAAAAAGAATTAAAAAAAAGCTTTACTCCTTCTTAAAAATTGCAGGAAATTAAACAGAAAAAAGTCCTTCAAAAAAGGGTCATTACCATAAGAAGAAGGGAGAAGAAAAAAAAAAATTAATTAAATAGAAAAAGTCCGTTCCAAAAAAAATACTTAGAGATACCAAAAACAACCATTCCAATCATAAGAAAATAAAAAGGGAAAGAGAAAGGAAAGAAAGAGAAACACCAAAAAGCCTGCCGGTCAGCATTCTAACTTCAGAAAAAAAAACACCGAGAGATTTGCCGATCGCCATTTTACTTTCCCTTTCAACAAAGAAAAAAAAATAAAAAGAGAGAATAAAAATAGAAGCAAGTCTTAAAACTTAAAATCCAAATAAATCAAAGAAAGGAAAAACTAAATCCTCTACTCAGCTCTGTCCGTTTATAAAAAAACTCACCAGTTCTCTTTAAGCACGGAGGTGTTTGCAGCGGCTTGTTTTGTCCCTGAGGACAAAAACAGCTGGGAAGCGGAGACAAGTCTGAACTCCGTGGGAGCACTCCTTTCACCCCCCCCAAAAAAACTTGGGGGGTGCAAAAGAGGCTCTACCACTATTCAGACACTCTCTACCCCCCCCTTTGCCCGGGAGGGGGATTTTGAACCGCTGAACAGCTGGTGTCTGCTGTTCATAGCGGTTCTTACACTTACCCAGGAGAGACGGCTACAAAGTAGCCGCCATCGCGCGCGCAAAATCCACCGGAAGTCCAAACATGGTAGTATTTTTAAAGTGAATGCTTTACAAAGAGGTTACTGTAATGTAGTTACAGGACTGGGGAAGTTTTTCCATTTGACCAAGGAGCTTGTTGGTTGGTTTTCAGTCACTCACATTTTCTCAGCCAAACAACATTATTGTGCGAAAAAAATTAAGGTATACCACTTTCTGTGTTTCAAGGGACTCGCCTCCAAACAATTCCTTGTGTATATGACATCTTCAGAGTTTGTGTGGAGCTTGTCTTCTTGTTTTAAACAGGAGAGATGCATGTGTCACACAATCTTCTGCATATTAGGATATATTACTTCTAGCAATTCTCTGGATGTTTATATATTACTAGTAACTTGCTGAACTAATTTACACTAATTGATATGTAATTGGTATGTAGGTTGGCAGAAACTAGAAACTCAGAACCCAGTATACGGTTTTAGCAAGGCCATTTCATCCCAGTCCTTTGGTTTACAAGAAAATTATCATGGTCAGATAGACCTTTTAGCATGGTATTTATTTAGTTCTATTTTTAACTCAGCTCCTATCAAAAGTGATCCCTATTTGCTCTCCTGGCTTTTTCTCCTGCACTGGGCCTATTTTGTGATGTGCATATTTTTATCATTATCCTCAATTATGTATTATGTCTTTGATTTTGTTGGGCTATTGTGTACTGTATTTATAATTTTGTAAGGCTCTAATTTATAATTTATAAGATTACCTTTCTCATATATTGTGAGAAGGGCAGCCTTATAAATCTTTTGAATTAAGAAAATAAATATGCATTAAAATTGTTAGCATGATAACAAGCTTAAAGCGAAAAACTGAATAGTTTCTTTCCATATTGTAGTTACACAATACAAAACAGTATAGATTATGGAAGTGTGGCTAGTAACTTGACTATTTTCAAACATTATTGGCAATTACCCTGCCCTTTTAGAAAGTTCCAAGGAAGAAACTTTACTTAAAATTAGTTAAATACATATGGTATTCTACGCAAGTTTTAACAGTTTCCAAATAAGGACAATAAAGGGTCATCTGCAAGAATATTTTGCTTCAGTGTTAATCAACAATGTATTGTTCTTGATTTTTTAAAGCGATGAAGGATTTTATTTTTATGCAGGAACATAAAAGCTGCAATGTGTTTCTAGAGGAGGGGTGTCAAACTGCCAGTCCGCTGGCCGGACACGTCATCCGGAAGCCGCGCCCACCCATTGCCGGCAATGGCAAAACTGTCCTGATATGTTGCGCGACGTCACGTGACGTCGCAAGTTTGACATGTCTGTTCTAGAGGAATCACCTGGGTGCATCCTATGGGAACGCACAATTCCAGTGTCCAATTGTCAGGTGGAGCTGTTGAGATACAGCATCGAGGTTGACAGAGCTAGGAAAATAACTCTTTTTCAGATTTTTGAATAGCTATCTGAGCTGAATCCCCAGAGCCCTGGATAATTTACATGTTCTCAGATGAATCTGCCTTTACATAGATAAATCAAATCTGAACTTTTTGTCTTGGCAGTTTGGGAAATGACCTAGTACAGACATGTCAAACTCATGACATCACATGACATTGCGCAACGTATCAGCTTTTTCGCCATTGCCGGCAATGGGGTGGATGTGGTTTCCTGGTGACACGTCCGGCCCATGGGCCGGCAGTTTGACACCCCTGACCTAGTAAAAGGGCTGTCACCTAAACCAAATGTTTGTAATAATTTGTAACAACTGAAGCTTTACAGATAATCCTCAACTTATGATCATTCAAAGTTACAACAGTGTTGGAAAAAAATGACTTAGGATTGACCCTTGCCCTTAAAATTGCTGCAGTGTCCCCCGTGGTCACATATTCAAAATTCAGGAACCTGGCAATTGGCATTCATTTACGACAGCTACGACGTCCCAACCTCCTGTGATAGTTTTAACCTTCCCATAGAGCTTCTGATCAGCAAAGTCAGTGAGAACAGCTGTATTTAGTTAATGATCTTGTGATTCATTGAATGATGATAGCAAAACGATTGTAAAATCAGGCATAACTCACTTTGTGACCACGTGCCTTATTGATAGAGGTTCCAGCCCCAATTGTGTTGCTAAGTCGAGGACTACCTGTATTTGAAGATTTGCCAAAAAAGCTGTAACCATGCAGTCCAGAGGTACAATGATGTTGTAAACAGAAATTAGATTTTGCTTTCAAAACAGGACAAAACAGATGAGATTTTAAGGCAGGGGTCTTCAAACTTAGCCCTTTTATGACTTGTGGACTTCAACTCCCAGAATTCTTCAGCCAGGCATGCTGGCTGAGGAATTCTGGGAGTTGAAATCCACAAGTCATAAAAGGGCCAAGTTTGAAAACCCCCGTTTTAAGGAATTCTTCCCTAATTGGTTTCTTCCAGATGTGTTGGGACTCTCTGTGAATTCACACTCCGTAGGGGAGCCCAATCTATCTGAAGTGCACCAAATGGGTCTGTATGAGAACTAGCTCTGTTGAATTAGGAAAAAATAGACCCCTCTTCTCTATTTGAACTGCCTTGTCTTCCATTGTTTCTATTTTCATCCACTTTCTCATTCTCTCTCATTGCAGACATGTGAAGCCGGAAACTTTTCTATCCATGTTACACTTAGTAATCTGAGAAGAGATGGAAAAAGCTGAGTGTTTTGCTTCTATTTCAGTATTGCTGCGGTTACTGTTGACTTAATATTTGTATATGAATAAATGTATAGGTGAATAAGAGGAGTCTCACAAAGGGCCTCGTCAATGAATCTGGCTGATCTCAACAGCCTGCTATACAAGATAAATATGGCCTGTAAAAAAATGTTATAGCATGGAACATTTCTGCTTTGCTTTTTAGTGTCCTCCAGGATTTTGTGGTCTGTATCTCTCTCTATCCCATCCCCATTTCCCCCCAAGATTCAGCATCCTTTGTCCAATGAGCATGCTTACTTGTTATAAGCTCTTTTTTCCAAGGTCATCTCTGCCTTTTTTTTTCTTTCTGATTGAGCTATCTTTGATCAATGTACCATCATTACTGGTAGTCCTCGGCTTACAACAGTTCATTTAGTGACCGTTCAAAGTTACAGCAACACCAAAAAAAGTGACCATTTTTCCCATGTGCGACCGTTGCAGCATCTCCATGGTCATGTGATCAGAAATCAGATGCTTGGCAACTGGTTCATATTTATGACTGTTGTAGCATTCTAGGGTCATGTCATCAACTGTTGCGACCTTCTGACAGGCAAAGTCAATGGGCAAGACAGATTCACTTAACAACCAGGTTACTAACTTAACTGCAATGATTCACTTAACAACTCTGGCAAGAAAAGTCGTAAAATGGGGCAAAACTCACAACAAATGTCTCACTTAGCAACATAGATTTGGGGCTCAGTCATGGTCATAAGTTGAGGACTACTTGTATTGTTGGGCAGCTATGAGATTCTCAGCCCTTAGAAACATAGGCATTTCTTTGAATCTGCTTTCCCTTCTTTAGCTGTTTATCTACAAAGGTTGGCAGTGGTGGGACTGCTGATAGATTCATTAATTGTACATTAATACTGTAAAATGCTTGTGAGCATTGAAGTATCTCTGGTAAGGTACCACAGTGAAAAAAAGCAGGTGAACTGTAAAATGATATGAGAATAATAATTACTTCCACATTATTGATGCTACTTTCCCAGCTTTGTGCTAAAAGAAATATTGGATGTATTTAAAAAAAAAAAACCTAAAGTAGAGCAGGTAGTTTTAAATTTTTTGGATCTTTCAATTGATAGGATCCAAGACCTGTAAGATCCCTTATCCAACGAAGAATCCTTTCACGTGGCTATTTTATTTTGTGTCATGCCCTAATTATACCTATGAGGTAAGCATTTTTTAATCATCAGACAATATTGCAATAATTTGGTTGTGCTTGTTATATATATGCTTAACATTGCCATAGGCTCACTTATTAACACTTGAAAGCTTGAATTGCACCCTTAAATATATCCCCTATATACTGTATGATAAACCACAGAATTCTGTACTTTGCAGAACAGGCTCAACATTCTACTTGAGAAGGAAAACTAAGGGGAAAAAAATAATGCAGAAACATAGCCAGCATAAGCAATAAGTGAAATTGCTGCAAAGTACTTCTTGCAGATGAGGGATTACCTCAGATTTGCTGCAGTTTCAAGGACACTGGGAAAAATGAATGTTTTTTTAAAGAACTGCAAATGGAAAGAACAACTATAAATTAGTAATAAATTAGAAATATATGAAAGTGGGAAGACTTGTGGAAAACAGATCATGCAGAAGCAGTTTAGACAGGTAGTTTTCTAATTTATTTTACGTGGGTCATTTGAATATTGAAATACATCAAGCTATTTTAGTTTCACACTCTTTTTTTCTATAAAACTGTGAAGAAGAGGGGGTAAATTTTGACATACTAGGATATCTCTAGGTGATTTTGCAAGGCTTTCCCATTCCTAGTACTATAATATAACAAAAATAACCAGAAATTCTCCACTTTGCTATAGATTATATATCTAAAAAGAATATTGAGCATAATGATCAGAAGTGAATTTTTATGTTGAATATATGGGGAGAAGAGTGGGAATTACTAATTTTTTAAATAAATCATCAAAAATATTTTAAATTTGCTTCCAGGAAGGAGAATCCTAGCAATATGACTAAAAGCATTCTGTACTTATTCTGTTTCTGTTCCTTAATAAACATGGGAAATTGAAGCAAAAAAGAGTATTACAGGCAGGTAGTTGATATATAGTATTAACGTTAGACCCACCCCATGAAATTATATGATTGTGAGGCATGCCAATTGTGAAAATAAAAATCTCAAAGCACTCTTTATGTCTTTTTATCATCATCTTCAATTAGTAGATATCAGTGTTTTTTTTTAAAGGCCCTACACATCAGTTCTCTAGCTACTAATATTTAAGAACTGTATACCTTCTTTACTTTATCTTAATTATCTTAGGCAGGAAATGTTTTCACACTCCTATTTGGAAGATCTTAAACTAGAACTTCATATATGTAGCAACGCATTTCCAAAATATTGGTTGTGTCTTTAATTATTTGCATGTTTATGTTTTATTGCTTTTGTTTTACAAACTTAAAATAGTTATGTTTGATTATTTTATTATAAAGGGACTAGTTGCATTTAGCAATTTTAATCATGTGAAATAGTTCTAAATTTTCTTGGCCATTACAGCTGGGAACATGGATTGGTTTTACTATCATGACTCAGTGCGTTTCAGGTGAATAGCATTCTTGGTTTTAAAATTTTGAGGTATTACTCTCAGTAGAATATTTTGTAATGTTAATCCCCTTTCTCTCTCTTCCAGTGGGATTGTTCACCTTGCTGTGTTTCATTCAGATGACAGTCTGGGCAAAGGACAAACACGGCACTTATATACGAGAGTTTAAGGACTACCCTAGTTTTAGAATGTCCATTATTCCTTTCTTATTATAAGAACAATGTTTTTCCCCTTCTGAATTATAAGCAGCAAAATGGATGGGCATCCAAGAAGACCGTTAGCAATGCAGCCAAGATGTGGAGATAATTTAGGTTGATTATTTCAGATGCATGTTACTACTGTGCTACAGTGAGAGGGGCTCAAAAGTCACACTTCCTTTTCTGATATGCAGGTTTTAGCATTGACTCCTCTTTTTTTTCTTCTTCTTCTTCATCTTATTGCCTTAAGGGTCATGAAAAGCATTCACATTTTATTGCAGTTTGATCAGCCAAGGTAACAGATAGTTGATGCTTTTGGAGCTTCTCTGGGTTAGGCTCCAAGAAAACAAAATCATGAGCATCCATACTGCATCCAAAAGAGGGGGGGAAAGGTTGCATCTGGTATAAGATGCTTGCTATAGCAAGCAGTATAGGTCATTTATGGGAAATCTCTAGCCTACAGGCCTAATCTGGTTTATGAGGCCAGCATGTTACAGCCTGGGGGTTTGGCCTTAATCTAATCTGCACTGAAACCTGTCTCATTCCCCCAAAGACCCCTCTCATCACTGCCCTGCTGATCGGAAGCACATCCAGTGCATGGCTTTCCCAGGGAATTCTCACTATAGACAGATCGTCTTAAGAGTTGCCTTTTGCTTCCCCTCAAAATGGAGGACTTACAGCAACTCCGGTTCAGGTTCTCCCTGTACTGCATTTCTTTTGATGGGGAAATGTGCACACTTGACATCTAGGCATCTGTTCCTAACCACAATGGCACCAAAGTGACTTATCAAAATAAGCATTGGGATATCACAATAAAAGCTCCACATCTCCCTGCTTGCATAGTAATATCCCACAAAGTACACAGAGAAAGAGTTTATGTTGCAAGGGATATTTCTTCATAGTTGTCCTGTCCTTTACAGATACCAATGTATACTGGACAATTACAAGAATAACGTGGAGAAAACGCACAGTGGAAAGTGTTCCACGGATTTATGACTCCCCTTAGTCCTGGATGGAGAGCAGTATGCTTCCCCAATCTCGCTCTATATAGAAAAAGACCAATGTTTCTCTATTTTAAAGTCCACATCCTGAAAATATAATCCATTGGGCCAGGGAGATTCAGCCCCAAACTGGATCCAATTCCCAACCCTGGTGTAGAACATGTTACCGGTACATAGAACTAGAGTAGGAACACAAGGAAAGGAAGCCGTCAATATGCTAAGAATAATCATCTGATGCAGCCATCATGTGAACCTACCAACCAGCCACTCAGAATTGCTTATGATTTGAGGTACAATTAAGCCTAGTAAAATAAATAGAAACATAAGAGTTTCTCTGGAGATTGCATATCTAAATATCCCCAATAAAAGTAGACCTAGTGTTGGACAGCAATTGGGACTGGGATTGCTGTCACTGAACAATGCAGTCATAAAGTATGACACACAGGATCTCATTGCTAAGCAATCCAGGCAATCCCTGTTGTCATCATAACTCCAATAACCATTAAGTAGAAGTTTGAAATAAGGGGCTCGGGGTATCACGTGCTGGCACAGCCTGTCTACTAGTTGGGGGAAGGGGGCGACTGCAGCTCAAATGCAGAGAGGCTGAGGTAAGGAGAGTGTGCGGGGGGGGGGCGGGATTTACCTGAGTGAATGCAACCTTCCCTGCCAACTTCCCCAGCTTGTGAGAAGATAGCAGGGAAGGTCGCCAATGGCAATCACGTGACCGCAGGATGCTGCAATTGTCGTAAATTGCGAGCTGCTTGCTAAGTGCTCAGATCATAATCATATGACCGTATGTGGACTCTGCAAGAGCTGGAACTTTGATGACCAATCATAAGCACACGTCTAATGCTGTCCCAGTTCGGTTGCTGGACAAATAGTCTTGGCAAGCAAAGCTACCAATAAAAAAAAAATGGCTAAATGTAAATAAGGAAATTGATTTTTATCCAATCTTTGGCACGTTCTATCTTCATGAAACCCTATTAGATAGGGGATGCATTCCCTACATTTAACCTCACCACATCCTGCAACCTGGTGCTTCCACAAATGCTATAGCATCTTATACTACCTGCGTTTCTCATGCTTAGAAATGCTTTCTATGCACACTTACTTGAATGTAGGTCTTATTGGTGTGACCAGTACGTTTTTTCTAAAAAAAAAAAAAAAAAAAGTACCGGAATTCACACACGTCATACAACCCGCCTTGCCTACCCTACAAGGTTCCATCCAAAAAAGGTGCTGGAACTCTGTTCTGGGCATTCTATGACAAAAAAAGCCCTGGATGTAACTTACTTTTAAGTAAACATGCATAGTAGCAGGTTACTATAGACTGCAGTCCTCCAGTCTTATGCCTGGACCCAAGGAAATATTAAACAATCCTGTATCGTATTTTTAGCTAAAATGCCCAATGTATTTTTTAAAAAGTGTGCAAAATGTATCAAGAAATCAGTACAGCAGTTGTCTTAAATTTTTAAGAAGACTGTAGCAACAAAAGCACCTGGGATGTTTCAGATTTATTTCTCTAGATATAATGTACATTTTTTCAGCTATTTGTAAAGAGATAATATGTAATAAACTGAAACTTATATTTTAAACTTGGATGAAATTACTGCGCCAATAGAACACCCATTGCAGTGAGTGGCCGAATTTCAGTATTTTATTTATCAACCAGAAAAGCAATATGCTCAATCATGTCAATGATAAGAAAAAAAATTAAAAATACCCCACCATCACACATAGAAAGTCCTTGTACAGCAGTCAGTACCCTTGGGAAGATAGTTTGGAAATCTAGTGGTTACTTATAGATCGTTGAAAGTTGCAACGAACCCCCTCCCCCCCGCCCAAAGCTACTTACTACTTTTATGCTTATAACTTGAGGGCTACCTGTAATTATCTTTCTACTAAATATTCAAAAGATCTGTAAACTTGTTAAATAGATATGAGGTTATAGATGCATTGTAAGCCCAATTTAGGTCAAGAAACCTTGAGCTGCAGCATTCCCAGCAGTGGCTGTCCTGTTTCTGAAGATCTTCTGAAGGATAGCAAAAGTCTTTGTCCTCTTTTATATAAGAACCCCTTCAAGGCTGTGAATATGTTCTTCTTATTTTTATTTTATTTTTTAAAAAAATTGTTCTAGCTGTCCACTCCAGTAGACTCTTGAGTGGTTGTAACTGTTGCTTTGGAATATATACCGCCACAAGAGTAGCTGCTGTTTGAAAGATTTGAACTGTTCAAAGTGGCTCTTCCATAATGTTTGTGCTAAATAGAAATTCTCAGAATGCCATAAATCAAGATAGTGGAAAATTAAAAGTTTCCCATTTGTCTATAACATTTGGCCAGTATGTAGCAGGCGGTGTGGGCTATTCTCACCCATAAGCAATACATCTGTCAGATTAGAATACGCTGCCTCCATTCTGGTTCTTACTAAGAATCTGTAATGTTATTCCACTTCCTTTAAAGTTTGGAAGATTGGTGTCTAGGTCTGGTCCTCAGCGTAGTTGCCACACAGTTTTATTTCTTTATATGCGGATAGACAACAGGAGTCACTTTCATCTCTCTATTAGCTCCAGCTGCACGAGGGTGTAGAGGAATCTCCTCATCCTCCATCTGCTGTTTAGCAAAATTTACAAAAACCTGTGGGAGAAAAGCAGAAAAATGTACAGCAAGAACTACCCTAGGAAGCTAAGTTCTGATAGAAATTGGGATGACAAAAAATAAAATAAAATGACAAAATGTGTCATGATACCACAACAAACCCTGGTCTTTTATATTTGCATCCTGATTATCTGACACAATTACATTAGTCATGGGGTTTGTGTTGTGATGTCACGTCATCTGCTCCTCTACAGACCTTTAGGGGAGGAAATAAATCCAGAAGCTCTCCAGAAAGTTAAGATTTCATTCACTGGCTGATCTGTCCAAAGTAGTAGTATGCTAAGTTAGGGTGATTTTGAAAGCTGGCATATGTAACAAAACTTTTCTCTGCCAACAAATGTATTTATTTATTTGTTCAAGAAAAATTATAAAGCAGCCTACTTGCTTGTGGCGACTCTAGGCGTCTTACTGAAAACATAGAATAAAAATAATAACAAAATAAAAAAATAATAAAATAACCCCCCACTGTCCCCTCAGTGACCACACACATCATCTCAGCATTTAATGGGCTCCATCCAGTGGTGGGATTCAAATATGGAACAACTGGAAGTCCATTCTGGGCCTGGGCAACAAAAAATTAGCTGCCGGTTCTGCCAAACTGGTGTGAACCGGCTGAATCCCACCACTGGCTTCATCCCACTCTGGGTTCCCCAGGCCCACAGGCAAAGCCACGTCTTCAGGGCCTTCCGAAAGAGTGTCAGAGTGAGGGCCAGTCTAATTTCTGGAGGGATGATGTTCCAGAGGGAGGGAGCCACCGTGGAGAAGGCTCTTCTTATGGCTACCATCAGATGTACCTCCTTAGGGGAGCGTATCCCTTCCCTTTATAAGTCCGCATTAAATCCAAATAAAGGTAGTATAAGCAGCAAATGGATCACTATTCTACGGAGACAGAGAAATCCGAAACCAAACCAAACCGTGAATATCGTGAAATTCCTTTGCAACTACAAAAAATGTTAGAAAGATAAGTGCTGTTGAAATGTCTATAAAAAGTAGACCCACTGGACGTGACTCAACTGCACTTACAAATAAATGAACCTGCCCCAAAGGGGGAAACTGAATTACCTCAGTTTCTAATATACAGTACTGAATTGGTTTCTGTAGTTGGGCTGTTCACGTTCACTGAGTGGAAGATTCCCATTTTCAGAATATTTTAATTTACCTGATCTAGGGTAGTTTGTGAGATAGAGTATTCTTCAATATTTAGGTTGTCTTTGTTGGAGAGAATCAATCTAAAGATCTTGGCCAGTGAACAGGTACATATTTGGTACTGCAGTATGTTATAGTGCTTTTCTCTCTTTATCCCTCTTGGAAAGTTCTGGCACATGAATTGTTCTGCTTGGCTGAGATCTGGAAGTAATCCAAGTTTAGGTGCCTTGATTTTCATGGTAACAATGTAGCCATCTCCATATCTGTAAGATAGCCATGATTTATTAAGTTATATGTTTGTGCAGTAATATTCACATTTATTCTATGAGAAATTTCATAAAGAGAGCACATAATTATTAAATTACATACTTTCATAAATCCTTAACCATGAACATGAGATACCGATCTTCAGCTTACTTGTATTTGAGATCCTGGATGGTGCCCAGACATTTGAAGGTGCCTTTAGCCATGATAGCTATGCGTGTACAGAGCGCCTCACATTCTTCCATGCTTATAAAATGAGAAACACATTGCACTTTACAGTTAATATACAAAACAAGAATCTGTTTTCAACAAATGGATCTCCTTTGGTGACCGGTGTGGTTTTATTTACATTAATGAGAAAAAAAAACCCCTTAAGAAGACAGGAAGTGGGGAGACTAAATCCTTTCCTAACAATAATCAGTTCCATTCCCACATCAGACTTTCAAGGCTAACTGATAAAAATGGAGAGCAAGTTGCAAACCCAGGAACAGCTTGCATTATCTTAACTGTGCTCTCAGAGCTAAGCTTTGCTATAAAAGAAGAAACTTGGTGAGCTGGGCTACATTAAACTACAATTCTCTTGGAATTTCATTGTAGGGGATGTTTCCATTTTCTCATTGTTTTTTCTACCTATTCTATTTTCTCAAAAATAATTGATAAAAGGTTTGGAATGCTGTCAGTCATCAGTCTACAATATTTACATTTTAGCATTTACAAAGCTTTTCAACAAGCTTTTGCTGTACATTCCCACTATCTCATGGAATGTATATACTGTTGTCTTTCATTTGGAGCATTCTCGTGTTTAACCATGACCATTCTTTCTTGCTTGTTCCGCAAAGCTGTTTTTTTTTTAATGGCAAATAAAAAGCAGGTGCAAGTCATCTACAAGACTTCTAGAGGACAGTCAAGGCATTTGCAAAGACCAAAACACCTGTATTCTCCAAGTATGAGGCAGCCATTTCCCAAAGCTTTGAGGGCTGCTACTAGACCAATTTTCTGATCCTCTCATGTGATATGAAGACAATCCCTTCTCTGCTGCCTCCTGCAATGGATTAAAGATGAAGTAGGGAGCAGGTACATTCCACACTTAAACAAACTTAAATAAGATTTATATATCTGTCTGAAGCCATCTTACCTAAAACCTAAAGATTTATAATGCAGGACATAAAATTGTAATTTTCAAAAAGTAAAATAAGGAGACTGTAAAGTATAATTGTAATGCACACTGGACTGGACCCAGACAAACTGGAGTTCAATTCCCCATTCCTCTATCAAGCTAATTCAATGATTTGAGCCAATCATTATCTGCCAGCTTAATCTATCTCAGCAGGCTTGGAGTGAAGATAAAATGCCAAGAGACAGTAACTGCTTGAAGGAAGGGCAGAAGCAAAGGCTGGGGATCCTCCCTTTCCAGCTGAAATCTGAAATGGAGCAAATGAATCTGAATGAGCTGTGAGTGCTAACCGGGATGTATGATTCGATTTAATTTGATGGGAGCATGACTTACATTACCTGTGGGAGGTAAGAACCACAGCTCTTCCATCTCTGATCACACTGAAAATTGAGTTCCATAAGAGGCGTCGGGACTGAGGGTCCATTCCCGTAGTTGGTTCGTCCTATGAGAACAGGAATGTAACAAGTAGTATATTTTCTCAAGAACAAATGGTGAAGCAGTTCTCTTCACTTGTAAAAGAAGTAATATTTTCGGAGTTCCGGTTATTTGTTTGTTTACATCCCACCTTTATTATGTTTACAGATAACTCAAGACAGTGAACATATTTCCTCTTTTGGGGTTTAACATGCTTATTCTTGCATGTGCCAAAAAGTAACTTTTTCAAGGTCTGGATGCTATGTGTCTCATGCTTCAGAAGAAAACGTGTACCTCAGATATCAGAATTGTGTAAGAAGGCCTAGCTTATCAATGCTAATTGAGTAGAAGAAAGACAACACAAAAAGACTATTAACAGAATTTGCAAAGAGCTATTTCAAACCAAAAGTAACTATGGTGTAGAGCAGTGGTTCTCAACCTTCCTAATGCCACAACCCTTTAATACAGTTCCTCATGTTATGGTGACCTCCAACCCCCCATCCAGCTGGCTGGGGGGGGGGTATCAAAAACTTGACCCCCAAAAAAAGGAAAATGGGAAAGTATAGGTAGTCCTCAACTTACAACAATTTGCTTAGTGACTGTTTGAAGTTACAACAGCACTGAAAAGCGAATTATGATCATTTTTCACACTTATGATTGTTGCAACATCCCCAGGGTCATGTGATTTACATTCGGATGCTTGACAACTGATTCATACTTATGACGTTCACAGTGTCCCAGGGTCACGTGATCAATGGCCAGGGGGCGTGGCCAGCTGATCACTCAGGTTGCAGAGTGCCTGTGGGGGTGAATCTGTGGGTCTCTGGGATGGGACTGGGGTGGTGCCTGCCTTCCTTCCCTCCCTTCTCTCCCCTTGTCCCTTCCTTCCTTCTTTTCTTTCTTTCCTTCACCTCCCTTAGTCTTTTCCTCCTTCCCTC